AACCTTCTCCTTAAAGGAACTCATCGATGCAACGATACCATTGCCTCAATGTTTGCTTGAGACCATAGACAGGTTTTTCTTAGCTTGCAAACTAGTTCCTGTCCATCCAAATACCCTCGCAAGCAGAAATTTTGGTGCTTACCTCCTGTGACGCAGTTGGAGCAGTGGCGCAAGCAGAGGAGGCAGGGCTGGAAACAACCAACCAATCTGTTACTATCCCTGGCTCCCATTCTCTGCTGTCTACAACCTCGCTCCAATCCCTCATCCTCAGCGGATCGTACCATAGCACTACAAATCCATTCCAACACTGGCACTGGATCTGAGTAGACATCCAATTTGCGTAGCCTCCAAACATGGATTCCACCGTGACGCCTCTCCCGCTTGTCAACCCCGACAACCAGCAGCATTCCATCCGTTACAAACATTCCAACCATGCCATCGCAATCCAGCACTCGCGGACAAGACACCAGTGCGAGCATCTCACCATCCTCTCTATCAACCAGCGCCAACCTCCCATTTCCTCACCTAGTTATTGAAAGCTTGAGCACCATGTATTTGACAGAGCTAATCAGGTGCCAGCCGCTTGTGTTGCACAGGTCCTGCGAGCCGTCTCTTGTAACCACTTTTGCGATCGTGTTGTAAAAACTGCGAAATCTGTCTGAAGAGATGATCTTGTTCCAGTACTTGCACACACAAGCGAACTTACACACGCTGTCACAGCAGAATTCCCTCCACAACCAAATCAATCTATGCTACAGCTACGACCTAAAAGGTTACAAATAATTGAAGCTCTAACAATGTAAAGCTCAAACAATTGAAGTTACAAATAATTGTCGTGTATTCTAAAGCGATTCCTCTCCCACCATAGCTTTGCTTGCCTCTCGCTAAACTTCTCGCGACTGGAAACGAGAAAAACAGGAAAATTGAAGGAAAAGAATGGAACTTTTCTGTCATCTCGTACCTGAATCTTACACGCTTTAGTTCTCGGTTGCCATTTGGGCCGAGCTTCACAGTGATATAAACCCCGGGCTCGTCTTCTTCGACCCATTCGGTCAGTTCGTCACTCGTAGTGTTGGATTTAGTCACTTCCGCGTGATTTTGCTGCGACGTTTGTGCTTCCACCTGGAGTGATCCAACAAGAAAAGTAAGTTTTGTTTCCAGAGAGGGATCCAAGCAAGAACAGAGAAATAAGAAACTTCTGAAGTTACTTGATCTTTCTGGCTGTTTGGAAACGAGTGATCGTTTCCAGAGACGTTGTAGAGCTCGTGAACACGCTCACAGTTCTCGGCCCACCATGCTTCAGCTTGCCATTTGTTAAAAAGCTCGCGACTGAGAAAGAAATAAAGCGGAAGAATTGCAAAGCTTAGAAGAAAACCAAGCTCACCTGAATCGAATTCTCTTGAGCTCGTTCTCTCCGTTGGGCATTGCTATGAAAGTTATAAGAACGCCAGGCTCGACTTGTGCCACCCATTCCTGGCTCGTCTCCTCGCAGTTCCTCTCGTTATGTTGGTCAAGATGATCTTGTTTGGAAGAAGAATTCTTCGCCGCGGATCCACTGCTGCTGTTGCTACTCGCTTGACTACTCGGTGAAACTTTACTACTGGATTGATCGTCCTGTTTCACCGAGACTGCGCCCTCAGAGATGGAGCTCGCAGCACTGCTGGGATAATTCTCCTTCTTGAGAATCCCAGACTTTTGGATCCACTGATCCTCGGACGACGAAGCATCCGAGTTTCCAATCACGAATTCGTGCTCGAAAGTTTTCCCCTTTGATCCAGCGCATGGCCTGCATTGCCTGTAAGCGGCCGAGACCTTCAAAACCACGTCTTTGAGCTGCCAAACGATCAAAGACAAACCATCAAGAACACGAGAAAGAAAGAGAAAAAAAGATGATTAGAGCTGCTTAAGCTGGAAGTTATGCTGGATCTGGAACGCAAACAATGGAATCCTGTCGGTACCTCTTTGTCATAAAAACAGCCATTGATTTCATAACACGCGTTGCTGCTGCTACAAGGGACAAACAAACAAGCAAGCAAAGCAAATCAAAGCACTCTCCAGCTAGAACAAAAAAAAAGAAAAAAAGAGGAAGCACACACTGTCTGTAGACTGTAAGTACTTACAACTATATCTCCTAGCATGATTCCTAGAGACAATGAAAGTTCTAGAGCTCTAGAGCTATGGAGAGACTAGAAAAGAAGGAGCTAAGAACTACTGACCTGTGAAGACAAGGACTTGACCTCGGCCTTTGTAATTGTGTTGTTTCGGCCTCCAGTGTAATCGTCCTCGTCCTCGTCTTCGTCATCGTCCTCAATCGCATGCCGCTTGCAAGCAATACAAGGCAGCATTGCTTGCATTCGCGAAAAGATCTCACTGTCCCTGTGTGATTGATCCAGACCAACAAAGGGAATTCTCGCCGAGATCGACTAGCGAGGAGTGAGAATCAGAATGGGAAGAATTCAACTTGGAGGAATTTGGGAGGAAGATCACAGCTGGAGAGAGAGGATGGGATATTTTGGGGACAGAACAAAAGAATCAAAGGCTTGTCTGCTGCTATGCTGTGCTATTACCCTCCTGATCTCTTGTGCCTCTCCAAACACCATAGCAGCACAAAAACAAAAAAGAGGAGAAAAAACACTTAAAAGCTTTGTCTCTTGGAGCCTTCCCAGCAAAAGAGCTCCTCGATCTTTAGCTTAGCTTAAGATGGTGGCTATGGCGCTTTCGATCCAGAGATCCCACCTGATGCTACTACCATTCCATAACAAGACACACCAAACTGTCAATGATCAAAGCGAGAGAAAAGAAATGGAAAGAAAAGAAAGAGAGAGAATTTTAGAGCCCAGACCCAGAACCCACATTTTAGCTTGAGAAATTGGGGAATTTGGGCGAGCACGAGAGCGCAAAGCCCAGATCTTTGCTCGATTTCGCGGCCCAATTAGCCCCAAATCGCCGCGAGGATTGGAATAAAAGAGCCCGTATCGTGGATCGAATCAGCTCAAACCAAGTGGATAGACGAGGAGAGCCATCTCATTTCCAGCCTGTGTGACAGAGCCTGGAATATGCTTCGTCCACGCCGACGTGGCAGGACTCCCGGTTTTTTACTTTATCGCATCCGCATGCACGGCTCGTTTTTTCACCGCCAGTTTTTCACCATGCCGGAAGCGCCGCGGCGAGCGTCCGACAAGGATTTCAGTCGCATGCCGCGGGTTGGTGGCCGGCCGGAAACCGACAGCTGGGGCCCATGCCGCTACCGACGTGTCAGTCTAGCGACACGTGGCTGTACACGACAGCCCTAAGCTAGTATGCTTGTGAATATTCGCGTGTTTTAAAGTTTTAGGGCTCCTGGCTAGCGGAGTTTCCTCACCGGGACCGCGCCCCCGAAAAGCTTCTCCACGTCCTTGGCCTCCATCTTGAGCGTTTCCAGCAGCGCCTTCTCCTCCTCGCTCAATCCCTTGAGGAAACTCACCTCGTCCTTCTCCAGCTCCTTGATCCCGCTCTCGATCCCGCTCTCGATCTTGTCCAGCAGCGATTTCTCGGCCCTGCCGATGTCCCGCACCTCCTCGGCCAGGACGCTCTCGCCCTCCTCCACTTTCTTCTCGATCCGCGCCAGCAGCGGCGGCTCCGGCCCGCACGAATTGTCCGTGCTCGAGAACTTTGCGAAATCCAGGCCCACTTTGGCTGCCGCGCGCTGGAGCTCGGGCACTATGCTGCGCGGCAGTGTTCTACTGCGAGTGTAGACGACGGCGCCACCATATCCGTCCCATGCATCGTTTGATCCTCGGTAGTACACGAAAACATAGTCGTCTCCTCGATTCTCCAGCTTGGACGAAAGAATGTACCTATGGAGATCGCCAAAGAAAAACTAAGTTTTGATCGATTGAATGAGACTTACCAATCGTCCCTGTAGTGTAGAAACTCGTTGCCATGGTTGTAGAGAACTCCTGGATTCTCGGCGTCCTGTTGGAAGCTCTGGACTGCTTTTCGAGTGATGAATCCCCCGTCGGGAGTGTTCACTCTCCAGCTCAAGTTCCCTGTCAATCTCTGTGGAGCGGCGGTGAATTCGTGGAGCTGACAATCGAAAGTATCGAAGGACCTGTTGAGGCCGCTGGAGATGAACCATTTCCCAGTGAACTTCGTGGTGTCGAAGCTCTGGACGAGTGCCGAGGGTGGTGGGATTGGGAAACGCCCCTCGTCTTTCTTCTGCGGGACGCAGCTCTTGCGGCTCACCGCGCAATCGTTGAATTCGTCCACCACCTTGTTCTCAAAGACGTCTCCGCATTTTATCTGAAAGTATTCGTGAATCGCAACGATCGATCAATCCAAAAGAAGTTTTACACAAAATCTAGAGACTTACCTGGCACTCGGTCTCGTCAGGTCGATCGTTACAAGTTTGCAAGCATGCAACGTTGGCAGCGCACGAAGGATCTGCAATGCATCGAGCGAGCTCCAATCTAGGGGAAAAAAAAAAAAAAAACTCGTCTTTCTAGAAGGACAAAAGAGAAGAATAAAATTACCGGCATTCTTTCAGAAGACAGGAGCACGTCTTGAGAGCATCGGCCGCAAACGCGGGAGTTGCGAGCAAAATCGCGCCAGCAAAAACCACAGCTATGTGTGTTCTCCAGTTCAAATGGTTTCCTAGCAAAAATTCCCTCTTCTCGATGGATTTCTTGATGATGGGCTCTCCGCATTGCTTCCCGAAAAGCTCCTGGCGATCCTGGGAGACGATCTTGAGAAGTATAACCTGGTTATAGTTTTTCTTGATCCCCAATCTTTCTACAGCCCTCTTGCTCGAGCAATGCTGCTGCCTGGCGAGTCTAGTACCTGGAGGAGCGCAAAATGCCCTTGCGTTCATCGCCAAAACGGATAAAAGGGCAAAGAGAGAAAGATACCTGGTCACCACATCTAGAACTCTTCCGAAACTCCATGGATAACTCGCCCCTTTCTCCCACGTAGCCCATGGATCCGCCGCTTATTTCACTGGCCAACGGCCAGGATTTTCACCGTTTTAAAAGCTAGGGTTTTTCTTATTTAATTATTATTCTTAAATGCACAATGATATTTTATAACCTGGTCTTATTAATCTTGATCTAACAAGTTTTGTGCTTCCTCCTGGATTATCTTCCACGCACCATCAACATTTTCACGTTTAGTCTGCGTGCCACCAATTGACATCCTCAATGTATACACGCCCGAGAGTACCTGAGGATAAATCGGTTATAGTCCCATTTCACTATAGCTTGAGAGCTTCTTACAGTGTGTGTCATGAAAATCTTTCCCCCAGAGTTAACAGCTTCCAGAAGCAAACAGTTCAGTTTCCATCCGTTATCTTCATGTTTTACTCTTGGTTTGAGCCTGAAGCAAACGAGACCAAATCGACATGGTGCTAAGATCTGGCAACTCACAAACGTAGATCATGGTCTCACAATTTTAGAGAACTCTCACGAGTTATACCTCAAAGCGAGAGTCCTCTCGCACAAGGACCTCGAAATGCTTAGCATGGTTTATGTGAGTTCTTATGTGGCTACGAAGTCCCGAGGCTCCATACAAGCGCATCACAAACCACAGCTTTAAAGATCTGAAAAGAGTATCCCATGTCAAAGGAAAAAGAATTATTCGCACTTGCCTAAATCGTCTTCCTTGAGCAACTTGCCAATCTTTGAAATTTACCACCCGAGACTGAATTGAACTAGTTTTTAGCTGAAATGAAATTGTATGAATGAAAAAGAGTAGATTTAAAAACTCATACCTGTTTGTTTGTTAATGTTGAAAGTGTTGAAGATAGCTGCTTCGAGTCCTGTAAGAGTATATTAAAAATTGATCGTACCGTTTGTAAAAGATCAAACCTTCAGCCAAAGTATGGAACAGTCAATATTGGTAAGAAGCCATTTATTTGCACTTAAATTAAAAGAGTGGGCATTTTCAACACCATTTAAAAAATGTCGAAATTCTGGACAAATGCAGGCATTACCAGCATAAGCTGCATCAACATGGAACCACATCCCATATTCCTGTCTCTTGGAAATTAATAAGACATTCAATAACTAGAAAATATATTTTTACCTTGGCAATATCAGCCAGTGCTGGTAATGGATCAATTGCGGAAGAAGAAGTAGTCCCAACCTTAATACAAATTAGTTAGATTAAATAATTATCTTGAAAATTCTTACGCACTGTTGCTCCAAGGAAAAATGGTATGAAGCCTTTCGCAAGACTGTCTTGAACAGCTGATTTTAATATAGAAAGTGAAAGAGCACAATCATCTGTCGCAAGTGTCGGCAGAATCACAAGGTTGCTTTTGGGGAGCCCAACAATCTGCAATAACAATTTCATAAGAAATTATACTATTCAAATATGTATAGTTTATCTACCACGCATGCCTTGTGTAGACAAGGATGTGTTTGATCCGATGTATAGACCAAAAGTTTGGAGAGAATTTCTTGTTCTTCCAGACCTTTGGCTTTGTTCTCTGAAATAGCTCGACCTCGAGCGGCTAGCAAGGCTACTAGAACAGCCTCACTAGCACTAGCATGGATCACTCCACCACCATTGCCTATTTAAACTTCAAGTTAATCTACTGCTGATTAATATGAAGAGTTTACCGCTTCGATTGAAGAGAAACTCGTCTGGAAGATTAAGAAGCTTCCCCAGCCAGTTTAGGACGAGCATTTCCAGCTCGGTTGCCGCAGGAGAAGTCGCCCACTCGCTTCCATCTACGTTGAATCCGCCGCTGAGAAACTCACCCAGCATCCCCGCCGTGCTACTGTTGGATGGGAAGAAACCAAAAAAGTTTGGATTCTGCCAATGCGTGACGCCAGGGACTATCATTGACTTCACATCTGTGTGCCAAACAATCGAATCGACAATGCTGTTTCTACTCTTGGATCATAGGATGGATAATCTCGAGGCAAACCGTCCAGAACAGTGTCAAAGCTTTGAGGCTCCTCGGGTGCATTGGATGGAAGAGAACTCCGCAAGTATCCCGGCTACAAGAAACAAACCTGGAATGTGGCAATGGATCTTTATCATATACTCACTGTAACTTGGCTGCGCACAGGAAGGCTCTCCACATCCCGATAGTAGTCCGCGATGAAATCGACCATCTTGTGCGCTTGAGCTCGAAACTCTTGTGGATCCATCAACGTCGGTGTTTAGGGTTCTGACATGATTAGTTGAGATCGTCCAGCACGATAGTCGGTGCCGGGTCCTTATCTGCAAATCGAGAAATGTACAAAGCCAAGATCAATAATTCACGATCCCGGACAAAAGAGCATTAAAGCAATTGTCCCCACGGAGGCTTGAAAAATCTATGTCTCTTTTCTTGCACAGTGAGGCTACGATCAATAAATTCTAGCTTCCAGCCCCATCGCAAGACCATGGATCGACTTGCGCTCGGCCTATCTCTTCTCTTCTCGTCTCTCCTTGTAAGTAGTTCTTTCCAACTTCTGTCGTTCAAACCTTATTAAAACTTGGATTCCTGTTTGGCAGCTTTCCGAATGCAGTGACATAATCTCCACGAGTTTCGCTAATGAAGCCTCGCCTCTGGGGGCATTCGAATCGGCTCGCTTCGGCGAGCAGATGAGAAGAGGCGTTTTCACGGCCGATGCAAAGCTTTGCCACCGTGCAGGATTTTTTTGTCATCCTTATGGAAGGCATGGAGGCAATGCCCACTTTGGCGATGCTGCAGAGAAGACCGCCCTTGCAGCAAGCAAGCTCGGAGGGAATGCTCACTTTGGTGACTTCCAAGACCGTGTACGCTCGCTGGAAGCCAGAGATCTTGGCGGCAATGCACAATTTGGTGACTTCAAAGATCATGGAGCTCTGGGTGGAAACGCTCACTTTGGTGACTTTCATAAGGATCACGGGCTTGGCGGAAATGCTCACTTTGGTGACACTGGATTGGGTGGAAATGCGCACTTTGGTGACTTCAAAGACCACGGATCATTGGGTGGAAATGCACACTTTGGCGACTTTAAATTAGACCATGGATTGGGTGGCAATGCCCACTTTGGTGATTTCAAAGACCATGGATCATTGGGTGGTAATGCCCACTTTGGCGACTTCAAAGATCATGGTTTGGGTGGTAATGCTCACTTTGGTGACTTCAAAGATCATGGTTTAGGAGGAAATGCACACTTTGGCGACTTGAAAGACCATGGCTTGGGTGGTAACGCCCACTTTGGCGACTTCAAAGACCACGGTTTGGGTGGCGGTAATGCACATTTCAGAGACTTTAAAGACCATGGATCATTAGGTGGTAATACCCACTTTGGCGACTTCAAAGATCATGGTTTGGGTGGTAATGCTCACTTTGGTGACTTCAAAGACCAAAGTTTGGGTGGAAATGCACACTTTGGCGACTTTAAAGACCATGGCTTGGGTGGTAACGCCCACTTTGGTGACTTCAAAGACAAAAGTTTGGGTGGCAATGCTCACTTTGGCGACTTTAAGGACCATGACAATGCTCATTTCAGAGACTTCAAAGGTTTAGGTGGCAATGCTCACTTTGGGGACTTCAAAGACCATGGTTTAGGTGGAAACACTCACTTTGGTGATGCTTCACTAGGTGGAAATGCTCACTTTGGCGATGCTTCTGTCAAACCAAGCACTAGTTGCAAGAAGAACATGCCGCTGTATTTGATCCAGATTTTTACTGAGTACGAGGAAGAGGGTTATGGAGGAAGGAAGTCACTGCACTCTATGGACTGGCCAACCATCAAAGCCTTAATAGCGAAATGCTCCCCTGGAATGCTCCATCACTTCTTCACACTGGAAGAACTCCGACAGAGAAACGGTAAGTCCAAACATTCCTTTTGCAAACTTATTTACTCGTACTTGTGGAAAATCTTGACAGGAACTGAAAGTGTCCTCCCAAACATCCGTGACACTTATCCTCCACGGGCACTCCTGCCAAGTGCAATGGCTAAGCACACAAACTTCGGTAAGCGGAGCCTTGACTCTTACTTGAAAGAGTTTAACGTCCCAAAGGAGTCTCCACTGGCAAGAAAAATGGCTTTCACTCTGGAACTCTGCAATGACAATGCTGGGGGGAAGATGAAGTGTGTGGCTTCCATGGAAGAAATGGCCGAGTTCGTCACCTCCACCCTTGGCCCTGTAGAGATTACCATGGTGACAGGAAGCAAGGCTTTCGCGGCCGAGGTTGGAAAAACTATCAAGCTTGGCGAGGTCAAGCCCATCACGAAAGGCGACACTCTTATGGTCGTCTGCCACACAACTATGTTTCCATACAAAGTCTACTTCTGTCACAAGGTGAGTAGCACCAGCGCTTCCAAAGTAAATGTGAAGACCAGCAGTGGGATGGAGCTCACTCCAAATGTGCTGTGCCACAAGATGGGCAAGACTTATGTTTGTCACTGGTTTGTGGAAACGGTCATTATGTTCGTTCCCATTGCCACTGTTTATGCTTGATTGTAATAATAATAATACTTATTGGCTTTGGGGTTAACAACAAAAAATATTTGAAATTATATTACTTTTTTTTTAACGTCTTGATAAGTTGTAAATAAATATTTTAAATATTAAACAACTTCATTATTTTAAACACATTTGGAGATGAACCATTTCCCAGTAAACTTCGTGGTGTTGAAGCTCTGGACAAGTGCCGAGGGTGGCGGGACTCGGAAATGCCACTCGTCTTTCTTCTGCGGGATGCAGCTCTTGCAGCTCACTGCACAATCGTTGAATTCGTCCACCACCTTGTTCTTGAAAATGTCTCTGCATTTTCACCACTCAATTATCCACCACCTTGTTTTCGAAAATGTTTCTGCATTTTATCTGAAAGTATTTGTGAATCACAATGGTCGATCAATCCAAAAGAAGTTTTACACAAAATCTAGAGACTTACTTGGCACTCAGTCTTGTTAGGTCAATCATTACAAGTTTGCAAGCACGCAACATTGGCACCACACGAAGGATCTGCAATACATCAAGCAGGCTCCAATCTAGGGAAGAAAAAAAAAACTCATCTTTCTTGAAGGACAAAAGAGAAGAATAAAATTACCAGCATTCTTTGAGAAGACAGGAACATGTCTTGAGAGCATCGGCCGCAAACGCAGGTGTTGCAAGCAAAACCGCGCCAGCAAAAACCACAGTTATGTGTGTTCTCCAGTTCAAATGGTTTCCTAGCAAAAATTCCCTCTTCTCAATGGATTTCTTGATGATGGGCTCTCCGCATTGCTTCCTGAAAAGCTCCTGGCGATCCTGGGAGACAATCTTGAGAAATATAGCCTGGTTATAGTTTTTCTTTGGCTGCTTGATCCCCGATCTTTCTACAGCCCTCTTGCTCGGGCAATGCTGCTGCCTGGCGACCCTAGTACCTGGAACGGATACAAAGGAAAAGAGAAAAACATACCTAGTCACCACATCTAGAACTCTTCCGAGACTCGCCCCTTTCTCACACGTGGATTTTCACCATTTTAAAAGCTAGGTTTTCTTAGTTAATTATTATTCTTAAATGCACAAGGATATTATCTTGATATTATAACCTGGTCTTATTAATCTTGATCTAACAAGTTTTGTGCGGATTATCTTCCACGCACCATCAACATTTTCACGTTTAGTCTGCGTGCCACCAATTGACATTCAATGTATACACGCCCGAGAGTACCTGAGGATAAATCGGTTATAGTCCCATTTCACTATAGCTTGAGAGCTTCTTACAGTGTGTGTCATGAAAATCTTTCCCCCAGAGTTAACAGTTTCCAGAAGCAAACAGTTCAGTTTCCATCCGTTATCTTCACAGAGATCTCTCCGAGTGTCTATTCCAATCTTCGACCACCTGACGGCGCTCGACGCTGTTGGCCCTTACTGTTTTACACTTGGTTTGAGCCTGAAGCAAACGAGACCAAATCGACATGGTGCTAAGACTGGCAACTCACAAACGTAGATCATGGTCTCACAATTTTAGAGAACTCTCACGAGTTATACCTCAAAGCGAGAGTCCTCTGGCACAAGGATCTCGAAATGCTTAGCATGGTTTATGTGAGTTCTTATGTGGCTACGAAGTCCCGAGGCTCCATACAAGCGCATCACAAACCACAGCTTTAAAGATTGGAAAAGAGTATCCCATGTCAAAGGAAAAAGAATTATTCGCACTTACCTAAATCGTCTTCCTTGAGCAACTTGCCATCTTTGAAATTTACCACCCGAGACTGAATTGAACTATGAAAAAGAGTAGATTTAAGAACTCATACCTGTATGTTTGTTAATGTTGAAAGTGTCGAAGATAGCTGCTTAGAGTCCTGTAAGAGTATATTAAAAATTGATTGTAACGTTTGTAAAAGATCAAACCTTCAGCCAAAGTATGGAACAGTCAATATTGGTAAGAAGCCACTTATTTGCACTTAGATTAAAAGAGTGGGCATTTTCAACACCATTTAAAAAATGTCGAAATTCTGGACAAATGCAGGCATTACCAGCATAAGCTGCATCAACATGGAACCACATCCCACATTCCCGTCTCTTGGAAATTAATAAAACATTCAATAACTAGAAAATGTATTTTTACCTTGGCAATATCAGCCAGTGCTGGTAATGGATCAATTGCGGAAGAAGAAGTAGTCCCAACCTTAATACAAATTAATTAGATTAAATAATTATCTTGAAAATTCTGCGAGAATTCGTCCGGCCCGAAAGTTGGTGCGGGTCCTTATCTCCAAAATCGATCAATTAATCAATGCAATTATAAAGAGTTTTAGCAAAAGTTTCAACATGCAATTCTAAATTGAATTCTTCCTCTATAATTCACGCTCCCGGACAAAAGAGTTAAAGCCACGGAGGCTTGAAAGATATCTGTCTCTTTACTTGCACAGTGAGACTACGATCAATAAATTCTGGCTTCCAGCCCCATCGCAAGACCATGGATCGCCTTGCGCTCGGCCTATCTCTTCTCTTCTCGTCTCTCCTTGTAAGTAGTTCTTTCCAACTTATATCGTTCAATCGTTATTAAAGCTGGGGATTCCTGTTTGGCAGCTTTCCGAATGCAGTGACATAATCTCCACGAGTTTCGCCGATGAAGCCTCGCCTCTGGGGGCATTCGAATCGGCTCGCTTCGGCGAGCAGATGAGAAGAGGCGTTTTCACGGCCGATGCAAAGCTTTGCCACCGTGCAGGACTTTTTTGTCATCCTTACGGAAGGCATGGAGGCAATGCCCACTTTGGCGATGCTGCAGAGAAGACCGCCCTTGCAGCAAGCAAGCTCGGAGGGAATGCTCACTTTGGTGACTTCCATGACCGTGTACGCTCGCTGGAAGCCAGAGATCTTGGCGGCAATGCACACTTTGGTGACTTCAAAGATCATGGAGCTCTGGGTGGAAACGCTCACTTTGGTGACTTTCGTAAGGATCACGGGCTTGGCGGAAATGCTCACTTTGGTGACACTGGATTGGGTGGAAATACGCACTTTGGTGACTTCAAAGACCACGGATCATTGGGTGGAGATGCACACTTCGGCGACTTCAAAGACCATGACTTGGGTGGCAATGCCCACTTTGGCGATTTCAAAGACCATGGGTCATTGGGTGGCAACGCCCATTTTGGCGATTTCAAAGACCATGGTTTGGGTGGCAACGCGCACTTCGGCGATTTCAAAGATCATGGTTTGGGTGGTAATGCTCACTTTGGTGACTTCAAAGACCAAAGTTTGGGTGGCAATGCTCATTTTGGGGACTTCAAAGACCATGGTTTGGGTGGCAACGCGCACTTCGGCGATTTCAAAGATCATGGTTTGGGTGGTAATGCTCACTTTGGTGACTTCAAAGATCATGGTTTGGGTGGTAATGCTCACTTTGGTGACTTCAAAGACCAAAGTTTGGGTGGCAATGCTCATTTTGGGGACTTCAAAGACCATGGTTTGGGTGGCAACGCGCACTTCGGCGATTTCAAAGATCATGGTTTGGGTGGTAATGCTCACTTTGGTGACTTCAAAGACCAAAGTTTGGGTGGCAATGCTCACTTTGGGGACTTCAAAGACCATGGTTTAGGCGTAAATGCTCACTTTGGTGATGCTTCTCTAGGTGGAAATGCTCACTTTGGTGACCACGGATTAGGAGGAAATGCTCACTTTGGCGATGCTTCTGTCAAACCAAGCACTAGTTGCAAGAAGAACATGCCGCTGTATTTGATCCAGATTTTTACTGAGTACGAGGAAGAGGGTTATGGAGGAAGGAAGTCACTGCACTCTATGGACTGGCCAACCATCAAAGCCTTAATAGCGAAATGCTCCCCTGGAATGCTCCATCACTTCTTCACACTGGAAGAACTCCGACAGAGAAACGGTAAGTCCAAACATTCCTTTTGCAAACTTATTTACTCGTACTTGTGGAAAATCTTGACAGGAACTGAAAGTGTCCTCCCAAACATCCGTGACACTTATCCTCCACGGGCACTCCTGCCAAACGCAATGGCTAAGCACACAAACTTCGGTAAGCGGAGCCTTGACTCTTACTTGAAAGAGTTTAACGTCCCAAAGGAGTCTCCACTGGCAAGAAAGATGGCCTTCACTCTGGAACTCTGCAATGACAATGCTGGGGGGAAGATGAAGTGTGTGGCTTCCATGGAAGAAATGGCCGAGTTCGTCACCTCCACCCTTGGCCCTGTAGAGATTACCATGGTGACAGGAAGCAAGGCTTTCGCGGCCGAGGTTGGAAAAACTATCAAGCTTGGCGAGGTCAAGCCCATCACGAAAGGCGACACCCTTATGGTCGTCTGCCACACAACTATGTTTCCATACAAAGTCTACTTCTGTCACAAGGTGAGTAGCACCAGCGCTTCCAAAGTAAATGTGAAGACCAGCAGTGGCATGGAGCTCACTCCAAACGTTCTGTGCCACAAGATGGGTAAGACTTATGTTTGTCACTGGTTTGTGGAAACGGTCATTATGTTCGTTCCCACTGCCACTGTCTATGCTTGATTGTATCTAAAAAAGCTAATAATGATAATAATAATAATAATAATAATAATAATAATAACAATAATAATATGCTTACTATCTGATTCTTTCTTCTGGACTTTTAATAATAATAATACTAATAATCATAATCATAATACTTATTAGTTTTGGGATTAACAAAGAATTATTTAAAATTTTTTATTTTTATTTTTTAAAAATTAAACAACTTAAATATTTTTAAACATATTTAAAGTAAACATAGTTATGGTAGTCATAACCAGTGAATATGTACTTTGGACGCGCGGCTGCCACTTGGCCTTGTTGGCTCTTGCCACGTTTGTTGTTAAAGCCCTATATTTCAAATGGAAGGTCTTTCATGCTCGAGAGAGCAGCAATGGCGTCCCTCACAGCATCATCGACGGGCTCTCTCTCGATTTCGTCCTCGATTTACAATGCCAGGGCCGGGCGCTTTCTTCTCGCTCGATCGCCGGCGGGAGCTCACAGGCACAGGTTTCTCCATCTCCAGGTTCGCGCCTCGTCCCAGCAGAGGGATCAGGTCAAGGAGTCCATCCGGAAATCCACGGCGCTCGATCTCGAGCCGGGGCAGACGCACGATAGATCCGTGGACACAGCGAGGGAGGAATTCCGGGAAGAATCGGAGCTAGGGTCTGTGGAGGTGTGGGAGGATGAGCTGAGGATGATGCTTGGATCAAGGGTGTGGGATGAATACAAGGCTAATGGACGCGCTCGCGACAAGGAATGGCTCCAGGAACAGATCGATCGACGATGCGTCCAAAATATGCGCATGCTTGTGGTGGATGCCGTCAACAATGCCAAGGCTGGGCATCCAGGAATGCCGCTGGGAATGGCCGAGGTTGGATTCACGCTCTACAGGAAGGTGATGAAATACAATCCGGGAAATCCTGGATGGTTTAATCGCGATCGCTTCGTTCTTAGCGCTGGCCATGGCTGCCTTCTTCAGTACATATGTCTTCATCTAGCAGGCTTTGAATCTGTCCAGGTTTGAGGTTTTTCTTTCTTTCTTTCTTGTTTGTTCTTAGCCTGCGATTGTTTCTTCTTAGATGGAGGACTTGAAACGCTTGTGTAAGTTTGGAGCACGTACTCCAGGCCACCCAGAAAATTCTGAGACTGCTGGTATCGAAGTAACAACTGGTATGATTTTTTTCAGTCTGGTTTGATGCTATTGATTTCTTGCTTCTTCTTCTTTGGTTTATAGGTCCTCTTGGACAAGGAGTAGCAAATGCTGTGGGACTAGCGTTAGCGGAACGTCATCTAGCAGCTCGATTCAATAAACCGGGACATGATATTGTTAACCACAGAACGTAAGGCAACAACTCGTGGATCTTATCACAAACATCATTTTTACAGGTTTTGCATTATGGGAGATGGATGTGCTATGGAGGGCATTTCAAACGAATCAGCTTCATTAGCCGGGCACTGGAAACTCGACAAGCTCACAGTCATTTACGATGACAATCATAATACGATTGATGGTGATACAGAGCTTGCGTTCTCGGAGGATGTGGCTGGCAGATACAGGGCTCTAGGATGGCAAACGATTCTTGTGGAAGATATCCACGAGCATCCTGGAAAGTTTGTTAAAGCTCTAGACGAAGCTTTCGCGGAAACTGAGAAACCAACATTAATCCAGGTAGAGTATCGTGAGAATGCTTATTGCTTTCGTTTGCTAAGCCGCATTTGTTCAGGTAAAGTCTTCAATCGGTTTTCCTTCTAAGAAACAAGGAACTTCTAAAGCACATCACGGAACTTTTGACGAAGAAGACGTGAAAGGCATCAAAGCGGCTCTTAGTTGGGAGGGAAGAGAGCCTTTCTATGTCGTACCCACGGTTTACGAGTAAGTCGAGTATCTTCATTCCGTCTTGACTAAGCTTCGTTCCAGGGAGTTCAAGAAAAAGGCCAAGGAAGCAGAATGCATAGAAGAGGAGTGGAACATAGAGCTTGCCAAGTACGAGCAGGAATTTCCTAACGAGGCCAACGAGTTCAAACAGCTTCTTGGAAATATCATTTCCGAGGGATGGGAAAAAGTCTTACCGGTAAGTTTTTTGTGTTTCTCTTCACTTAGTAGTTTTATTTTTTGTCTCACGTTTTTGTTTGTTTTATAGACATGGTCTCAATCAGATCCTGTGGACGCCACCCGAAGCTACTCGGAGAAATGTCTCAACGCATTATCTACTGTGATTCCTGGACTGATTGGCGGCAGTGCAGACTTAGCATCATCAAACAAGGCCTATCTCAAAGACTACGATGATTTCCAACACAAGACTCCGTGGGGAAGAAACGTCCGCTATGGAATTCGTGAGCACGCAATGGCAGCGATCTCCAACGGCCTGTCTCTCCACTCTAGCGGTCTCATCCCGTTCGCGGCAACGTTCCTAGCCTTCAGCGACTACATGAAACACGCCATGAGGCTCTCAGCTCTCAGCCGAGCCGGCGTGATCTACATTTGCACGCACGACTCCATCGGCCTGGGTGAAGATGGTCCGACGCACCAGCCAGTAGAACAGCTCGTGGGACTTCGAGCGATCCCAAACTTGGTCGTTCTACGCCCGGCTGATGGCAACGAAACCAGCGGAGCATACCAAGTGGCAGTGAGAAGACGAGATTCAGGCCCGACCGTGATCGCACTCTCCAGGCAGAAAGTCCAGGCTCACGTAGCAGGAACTTCGGCTGACAAAGTTGAGAAGGGAGGCTACGTCGTCAGCGACAATTCCTCCAGCGGCAGCGATCCCGAGCTCATTATCATCGGAACAGGCTCCGAGCTATGCCTGTGCGAGGGAGCGGCCGAGAAGCTGCGAAGCGATGGATTTAAGGTACGAGTGGTGTCGCTGGTTAGCTGGGAGCTGTTCGACGAGCAGCCGGTCGAGTACAAGGACGAGATTCTTCCGAGGAGCGTGAAGAAGAGATTGAGCGTGGAGGCTGGCTCGCCGGTTGGATGGAGAGAGTACGTTGGATTCCATGGCCGGGTTCTTGCGGTGAACTCGTTTGGAAAGAGTGGAGCTTACCTGGACGTGTTCAAGAAATTTGGCTTCACGGTAGACAACGTCGAGAGTGAAGCTCGCAAACTTCTCCAAGTTTGAGATCATAGTTTTTTTTATTTCCAGCGTCCATAGATCGATCAAAACACACCCAATCAATGCTTGTAAGAAGAATAAATAGATGAATGTAATTACACTAGCTCTCGGTGTTCTCTTTGAAACTCCCATGTACAAGGCCCGCTACAGAAGCAAATCAGTATCATACTTTTCTATATACCTATAAGAATTTTTTGATGGGATGAGCTTGAATGTTCATCCTTTTTCTCTTGCTCATGCCGCGAGCACGATTATCACAATCACCAGAGCCACCGCAAAAATAACCATGAGCAAACAGCTCTGCAAAACAAAGGCACGAGGAACATAAGAACGTAGATGAGAAGAGAGAATGGAGAGATTCTCTCTTACCAAAGTATTGCCGGACTTTTGGCTCTTCGAAGCCTTTGAGAGTTGCTTATTCGCTTGCGCTGTAGCAGCGTAACTGTTCTCTACGTGGGAATCAATCTCCTCTGGCGAAGCAACGACGTAAAGAAATGTTATGGAAGGGAGAAGACAAAAACGATAAGCTTACCGATTGTTCCACCCTGCTCATGTACCATTACCGCAAGATCCTTGAAGATCTCGTGCACTTCCTCGATTTGTTCCTGGACTTCTCTGATGCCTTGCGCTCTCTCTTCAATCACGGCCTCGTTAAAAGTAACCTCGTTGTCTAGTTGCAACACTTCCTGCCTGCGTATTTTCAAAAGAAAGATCAGTACAAGGTACTTGGAAACAAGTTTGGATCTTCTCACCGTCTCTGCTCGGCGAGTAGAATTCGACGTTCATCATCCGGACTGGCGCTGGAACGAAGAAAACAAGAACACCATCAGCCAGCTTTCGAGAAAGCAGAAAGACGAGGAAAAACATACCCTTCCATTCCAAGCACTTCAGGAACCAATGGCGCATACACAGTCTGCCGCTCCTTGCTAATCTTTTGGGCCTGCTCAAACGTCTGCAAAACCCTCTGGAAATCCTTGGCAAGCTTCGCATCCTTCATTTTCGTCGAGGCCTAGAACACCACAACGCATATCTCTTAAGTTCCACCATGGAAAGAAAAAACCCGAGAAGGAACAAGAAGAACAAAGAGATAGATCCCACTTACACTGACTGGCTGTGTGCGATCGGTCTCATTGACAGCCTTGAGCTTCGCGGCCGTCTCCTTGATCAAATGTGATATGTGTTGCCTCATCTTGTGCCTATGGATGAAAGAAAGAACAAAAAAAAAAAAAAAAGGTTTGTACGTGGAAGAAGAATTCCAGAATTCCACTCACATCTTTGTTCGCAGCTCCGGCGTGTCCTTGGCAGTGCCGAGCTGGTTCATGAGCCTCGTATAGCTCATCACGGCCGTGTTGATCTGGAAAACCCCCGACGCCACCGCCTGGCTTGGATCCTGGCCCCCATTCAGCACATCGCCCTTCCTGGCCGGGTAGCCGCGCTCCAAATCCAAGTCCTGGTAGCTCATCCTGCCCGATTCAACCCTGTCGCCGCGAAATTTGACCTACAGCCGCGTCGAATTCGTCGATCCGTGCCCCGGATCGCTGCTGCATGCGCCGCCCGCGATCAATTGAGCGATCGAGCGTGGGATCTCTCCTCACGATTGGAAGGGAGCGGTGTCCTGCGCTCCTCTATTTTATTCCTGGGGAAAAAAAAGAAAGAGCTAGCGGGATGTGCCGTGGCATATTCCGTCTCACACGTGGCGCGCTGAGACGGGCGTGCCGTTTTGAGTCAGCCCTAAATTCGAGGCGCGGGAAGAACAGAGTGCGGAGATGGGGGACGAGAAGAAGCAGGAATCCGTGAACGTATGGATGAAATTGAGGACTCTCCAGAATCAGCATCGCGTCTACTTGGTAAATTCCCGATAATCGCTCGGATCTTCGAGGAAATTTGATGGGTTTCTCTCTTCCAGGATGCCAATGTGGTACAAGTTGTGTTTAGAGGCTTGCAGCACTTGCTCATCGAAAGGTAAGCGAATCCTTCCTCCTTGAGAGTGTTTGATCTCGCCCACATTGTGGGAGGAACGAAAGCTCTAGCTCTATCTCGATTGACCCCATGGAGAAACTTCGCATAGGCCCTCGAATCCAGTGGGATATCTAGGCCAGTTCCTCATCGATCACGATCCTTTGAAACCGCCGCCGCCGCCTCCGCCGGAGCTGATCTGCTCGCACTGCGCTCACTCGCCACCGCCACCGCCGCCCCCGCCAGTGGAGGAGAAGCCGCCGCCGCCGCCCGAGGGCGAGGAGGGCGCTGGAGGAGAAGCTCCTCCAGCCGAGGAGTAGCACATTCGCTCGAATTCCATCGCGCAAATATTCTCCCAGTACGCTTTCTCGATCAAAGCCTTTTGTTTCATAGCTCTCAGCTCGTTCGGATGGATCGATCGATAGCTCCATACGATCACACTCATGTTCTTCCGAGATCTCTCTCTTTTTCCTAAGATTTTCTCTCCGTTAGTAGCAGAGACACTCCGTCAATGTTGGAAGGCGAGGACTCTTTCTTGTCGCATTTGCGCGATGGCGCGGAATTGTTTGGACTTTCTCTTGTTTGAATTTAAATTTGGGTTTTTTCCCATGTTGCCAAGTATCGCTACGTGGTGGCTCTACCGTACAAAACTACCGCCCATTCTTTATGTAGGCATGTATATCCTGTCGGTGCTACCAAGAAAAATCTTCAAACTTTGAATCCTCCCTCCACAATTTGAATTCAAAAGATTTGAATTTTGAAAAAGCTGCACATTTTTTATTTAGATTTTTGAGATCTTCCCGCCAACTTGTATGTACAAATCCTAAGGAGCTTTCTTTTACACGATCCACGCGCTCAAAGAATTGGGAGTGTCGACTTCCTCTAGCTTCGGTCTAAACGATCGTTCGATCGATCGAGCAAAAATTTTTGGAGCTCAGCGTTTCCTTTCCTACTCTCGGGTGTGATTTTCCGACCGCTGCGAGTCCTCGCCTTTCAGCTAGCTAGATCTCAGCGAGAAAGAGATACCGGAAGCGAAAATCAAATGGAAGAACCTGGACTGCGCTGTGGCCGCGCTGCTTTCGCCGTTTCAAAGAGCTCATGACGAAACGAAGCTGGGAGCTGGACAAGTGCGCGCAGATCCAGTCGGCTAGCGAGACCTCGCTGCCCTGCGTCTCGCGAACGTGAGCGTAGAGCAGCTTTGGAACCATGAGCTTGCTGCTCTTGTGGTTGATCCCGACGGATGCTCGCAGATAATCGCGTAGAGATACCTCCAGTTGCTCGTAGATTGTTTCCGCTGTATATATTCGTACCTGGGAAAGGAAAGAAATCAATGGATCTCTTGAAGATGTCGAGGAAAGGATTAGCGAGACTGCATTGCATACCGCTGGGCACGACCAAGCACCAAACGACAACGCAAACAGCGTCAGAGGCTCTGCATGAGATATGCCAAACTTCGTTTGCTGCTCTGACAGGTTGATCTCTTTTAGTGCCAAAAGCAACTCCTGCAAAAAAAAGAAATTAAATTTAAGAAACAGACACTGCGAGCCAGATCTTAGACACATACCAGTTGAGGCCGATATGTGGATGCCCGGGATTTTAGAAACGCATATTCAATAGTGATCGCATTAAATGAATGGCCCCCAATTACGTAGCTTGCCTGCACAAGAATTGAAGGCATTCCGGGATTTAGCTGTTTAGTGCTTGCTGTATATGAAACTGCTACGACATACATACCTTTTGCATGAGAGAGAAGTACTTCGCTTCGTTATCAGGTGTTCCGTAGGCAAGAAATGCCTGCATAGACAAATTCGTGATCTCACAACAAGAAGCGGACAACCAAACGGTGTAGAAACTTACGTGCATCATCAACGCGTTGTGTACATTGATCCAAAAGGCAAGTTTTTCCACATGCCTCATGCTGCTCGGGTCTACTCTTGATAAGTGCTCCACCAATAGTCTGCAAGACTTTCGACGTCAGAAAAGCCGAAAAAGAAGATTAGAATGAGCAACAGTACTCACTTGAATCTCTGAAGTGCGCCGGCAGCATAATTGAGCTGTCTCTTCCCCACAGAGATCCACGAAACCTCGGCGGCTGTCTGATACGCTCCAATCTCTGGCAGCATAACCTTTCCTTCCATGGTGTATGGATCGAAGACGCTGTCTTGTCCGGCAACTCCCGCTTTGTTTCTCCAATCAACAAGCGGGCTCCTCGCAAAGGATACGAATGACGACTCCGATACCGATGACAGTGACGATGAGACCAGATGAACAAACGGCGACGTTGGCGATGGCATGTCCCGGGGAATTGATTTCGAGTGTGGCGTCGAACGGCCGGAAAGGTGGTGATAAATATCCACCATGCACTGCACCATCTGCTCTGACAAGCTGTTGGGATATCGCCAAAGCGCTTCCGACACGAGAGATTCCGCCACGATATCTTCCACCGGGGGAGCTTCTGTGCCGCAGTCGTTTAGATTGCCTGACACGTCCCTTGATTCCCACTAACACAGAGCGCCAAAGTTTGAAAATGAGCCCAACAGAAAACGTGAAGTACTTAAAAACGAGCTTTACCTTTCCAGAAGTCGTCACGGCTTGCTCCTCCTCATTCCGCAACCGCCACTCACTCTCCTCGTCCGCGGAAGATTTTCTGTAATCCTCGAGAGTGAGTACGTCCTCCGAGCTATGATGCTTCTCGCCCGCCTGATGATCACCATTTGCCTCTGTTGAAGCGCCACTTGATTGATCGCTAAAGGCCTCTACGGCGCATGGTGTGGCTGGCGATGGTGGTCGGCCCCTCGCGACAGGCTTTAAGTATGACGAGCCCTGTGAGCTTGGAGATAAGCACGAAGCCTGAGTGCCAGGCTCCTCCTCGGTCACCGTCTGTGATAAGCCTTGCAGCGTCGATTGGGACTTTTCATACGCGGACCGCTCTTTGAAAACTTGGCTTTGTAGAGTCAGCATCTGTTCCTCTAGCTTGGAAACAGAGAACTCGAGCGTGGCCACATCCAGGAGAAGTTTCTGTGCCTGGAGAAGAAATCAAACGGGCGTTCGTCAGCACTTTTCTAATGTGAGCAACGAGTCACCGTTGCATACGTACACTGACTGGGAGATGACTGGGGAGACTGGAGATGGCTTCCATTGCGTTTTCGTGGGCGGTCGTGTAAGCGCAGTGCAAATCGCGCTCCTCTTGCAGCCTTTTCTCGAGCCTGGACACCTGATTTTTAGAATTTGTGGCGAAAACATTCGATCAGACCAGACTGTTCATCCAAATTCCAGCTCTACTCACATCAAACTCGAGCCTGGAGCGATGCACACGCAAACTCTCCCTCTTGACAGCCTCGAAATCGGTCTTGTCCACGACCTGTGCAAGCAATACAAAGCCATCGATGAGAACTTAGAAGGAAGCAAAAGCATCCATAGCTAGAAGAACCATACCGTGGACATTTGATGGATCATTTTTTGATTCTCGAGGAGGACGCTGGTGAGAGAGGCAAGACAAGAGAGGATGAGAGTCAACACCAGACCAGATGAAAAGATGGAGCTAATTCAACCAGGAGTAGTACCTCTGACCATTTCCTACGCGTCCACGATCCATCACCTCATCCTTTTGGCAGAAGGCCTAGTCAGTGTTGGCCAGTAGCCACAATAAGCCAAACGCAAGAAAAAGCACGGACTAGAGACTAGCGAACAAACAGAAGAAACTCACCCAGGTTCCCGGAAGCGCGCCGGCGGATTGCTTCCCCGCGATCCAGCTCGCCTGGCAGGGCCATCAATCGAGCAGCATTTCAGCAAATTGAGTCGATCGGCTCTCAGGGAAGACGCTTACTTGCTGCTGGACATGGCAGGGGAGGAAAGAAATCTCTCCCGCTTTGCCGAGATTGGAGGCGTGCTCGCTGATGAGGAATGTCTCCCACGGCGCAAAGCTCCCGATGCTGCTGCTGCTGCTCCTCCGATTCATCATCGCCGAGCTCGCGCTGCCGATTCCCGGAGAATTTTCTTGAATCCAGCCGCGGCGTAGTCATCTGTGACGAAATTTCACCATCCTAGAATCCAGACATTCTCGCGATTCGCAGATAGACGAGATCCCCGAGCAATCCTCTTCTCACATTTTCTCCACACACACCACACAAACCCTATGCACAGAACACTAAAATAAAAACTATTTCCAAATACAAGCCATAGCCAAAAGCTCGGGCCAGGCTCGGCACCGAGGCACGAGCCCCGAACCAGCAAACGAGTTTACTGCGGGCGGGTAAAAGGTTTGAAGTTCGGCCGGTCCTCTCATGGTTGACGGGCCAGATGAAACCGTCAACGGTGAAACATTGATAGCCGTTGATCCTGGCCTTGGATTTGAATTTACGCCACCGCAGTAAAAAATAAAAACCCCCACCGCTGCGACAGGGACCAGCGGGTCGTGACACGTGTCTGGTCCACAGTGGCTCGCACCCAACTAAATTGACCGGACCAATCCAAAACTTTCACTACCCTGCCCGTTAGCGTGGGCAATTAGAGCAAACAACTGCTGCTAATTACTGTCGGAGATTATGGAGATCCCATGATTGCTAGCGCCAAGGTCGCCGGTTCGAATCTTTCCCAAAGGATCCCTCTCCAAGCAATTCTTTGTCTGTCTGGAATGGAAGAATATCTTTGGACGTAACTATAATGTACTCTGAAGTAGTATGATATCTTTTTATCCTCTCTCCCAAACTTCCAGATCGATCCCTGGACATTACATTAGATCTTAGATCTTAGAGCTTAGATTTGTATATACCATCTTCTTTTTTCCATACCAGTCGACCTCTTTCATCCATGTGCTCGAGCACGAAGGAATAAATCCAATCCTTTCAGCGTCATTTCCAACACAGACGCTTTCCTTGTTGGCTTGGCCCGCCCTGTGAGCTACTGCCACAGCGCCACTGCTCCAAAAATTATACCTCCTGGCAGTCCCTCTGCAGCTTCTGGCATCTCTACCATTATAGAGAGAACCTCTTGTGCTGTGCTCGCTACGATTTCTTTCCTACAAAAACAAGCACCGCAAAACGAGATAAGTTCCACTTGGAATGAAACAAAGCGACACAGCACAGCTCACCTGTGGAAAAGAAATGCAGTCCGTCCAGTCTTCCGGATATCGCTCTGACCGCGTCCCGGAACGCACTCCTCCATTCCGGGGCCCCAAATCGGAGGATCCAAAAGCGAAACATCTGCTGGAACATTGCTAGGTGGGAAGAAAGTTACCTGTAACTCCACTAGACGACGCCTGAATGCCGTCGGATTCCACTTCATGGGCTTCACGAGAGTTTCCAGTCCGCAGTCCATGCGATGGTGGTGGAAACCAACGCGCCAACACTGCGCTGCATTGACAGGAATGAACAATAATATCAAAATGCGTTTCTCCTGACGGAAGTTTAAAAGACATACCTTTTCCTTCGTTTTTTTTTATCTTTTAATCTGGAGTAGTGTGAAACACCAGTGCAGCGGCAGTCGTTTGTGGTTGTAAGCATAATTCCCCACCTCTTCGAATATAAAAAACACTTGTCGAGAACATCAACACAGGTCAGCAACGACGAGCTTATGATCTTGCACAGATGGTGAAAGGTGCCGGTTGAGTAAGAAACGATACCATGCCAGATCTTAAAAAGTCGGCAAGTCGGGTCGGGCGCAAAACTCCAGGCTGCAAGATCAAACAACACCGCGTCGCTATCCCGTCTTAGTCTAGAAAACAGAAAAAAGCGTACCTTAAAAGTCATGGATTTTGTTACTGCGATGATGATCACAAAACGTACCGAGCACATGAAGGACCAGGTGTGTTGGATCAGCTTTCAATCGCCAGAGGGTGTAGAACATTATGCATTCTGTGAAGAGCAGATTTGATGCGTTCTTTGAGATTGTCATCGTCACACTCGACGCTGCGGCTGGTGTAGTCCACAGTGGCAGCAACTCCGTCCACAGAAATCACGAGCTTCTTCCCTTCCTCGTCTACTTTGACGTCTCCAAACAAAGACGTGAGCAGCGACTGGACAACCGTAAGATCCTCCTCAATCTTCGGCAGACCATTGGCGTCCGTCAGCAAGCGAGGATCCATCTTCGTGATGATCGCAATTATTGAATCCGCTATCATGTCGCTCACTGGATCGGACACCCACTGGAGGACCACATGCTCGTTTGACTCCTGAGAAATCGTCACCTTGTCATGGATCCTCAGTGTCTGGCTCTCGGCCTTTGTAACGTGTTCCACGCCGTCGTACATCTGCTCAATCCTGTGTCGCAGCACAACAAATGCGCCGTCGTATGGGACTGAGAGCCTCTGCTGGATGCTGCCCCTGGAAAGCTGTGTGTAAACATGAAGGTCGTCCGGAGCCATCAGCTGGTACGTGAAGCTCTTCTTGATCAGCAGGCCGCTCACTGCGCCCCCCTCGTCTGGTGTTTTCTCCGCCAGCCTACCAACAGCCTTTGCAACTTTCTCTCCTTTGAAAAAAAACTCCACGGGTTGGCAGTTCTTTGGCGAGTTTATCTTGACGTTTTGTTCTGCAAACTGCGCCTGTAACTTGACCTTTAGACGGCCCATCTCGTTCTGCTCTCCATGAACGAGAACAATGTGCGGAGGCCTTAGTTCCCCTAAGAAGGCGCTGGTCTGAGCAAAGTCCGCGTGTGCCGAAAAAGAGATGTACACCACCCTCATGTTGAGCGGAACTACGAGGCCACTGACGAGGGCAACTTCCTTCGGCTCGTTGAGTATAGTCTTTGCAAGTGTCCCTTCCACAACGTAACCCGGTATCACGCAAGCGTTCTTCCTGTCCTGACACCAGCGGTCGAATAGCTGACGAGAGAGCCCGCTCTGCAAACCGCTTGGACTAGCCATAACAATCGAAGGCCCGACATCTTCGAACTGCTCGATGCTCTTGAGAGGAGAGATATGCTTGAAGTTGAAGGGATTCGAGTTCTCGTACTGAGACTTGATCTTGTCGTTCATGGAATTGATGTAAGTCTGATAGACTGCCATGCACTTCTTGGCTAGCGGCGAAGCATAGTATATCGGGATGTGTTGCAGCTCCGGGTGAGCCTCCCAGTACTCGTCCAGAATCAACAGAAGCTCCTGTGCTCGTCCTAGAGCGAAAGCCGGAATGAGAACTCTGCCTCCGTGAGACACGGTTTGCGCTATAGTCTCCGTAAACCTCTTCTCCCGGACGTGTCGCGGCTGATGAATCTGAACGCCATAAGTCGACTCTATGATGCAGACGTCTGGAGAAAACTCTGGCATTTCCGCGGCTTTGAGGTGGCGATCCTCTTCTCTGGAGTAGTCTCCTGTGTATAAGACCCGGATACCGGCTATATCCACCATGAACATCGCTGCCCCGAGGACATGTCCCGCGGTGTAGCACCAGAAGCGTATCCCATTCACCTCCATAGTTTGGTGAAAGTCTATAACCTGTAGGCACCGTAAGTGATGTGACCCCAGGTAGCACCACACATACCTCGATCTTGTCCATGGTTTTCAGCACGTCTTGCTCGTCATACAGCATGTCTTCGACAGACCCTTTGCTGATCTTGACATAGTCCGTGAGCAAAAGCTTGTAAATGGCTTTGGTTGCGTGTGTCATGAACACTCGGCCTTTGAATGTGGTCTGAGAGACAAAACTTTACAAACCAGCCTCGCAAAAAAGAAATCAAGTACCTTCTCCAGAAAATATGGAAGCGAGGCCGCGTGATCGAGATGAAAGCTGGAACAGAGATCACGAAGAGTAGAACAATAAAAGGAAACGAAAAGGAAAATCCTTACTGAGTTACTAACAGCACGTCGATTGTCGACGGATCAATCTCATCGAAATACGGCAACGCGGCCATTCCAGTGTACCCGGGATGGATTCCACAGTCGAACTGGGCAGGAAAGCACTCACATTTCACATTTCCTTGCTCGAAAGAAAGAAATCTCGAAATCCACTCACCAGAATCGTCTTTCCCTTGTAAGTCATGTGGCAGCACGATCGGCCGACCTCGCTTCCAGCTCCCAGAGGCATAATCTCCATCTTCTCGCCCTCGTTCCTCGCCATCGAATCCTTTCTCTTCAGCATCGTCGCGAAACCAAAAGCCCTAGAAAGAACGAAGATTTTAGGGTTCTAAGCTTTTGCCACGTCGGCATTTACGCAGCGCTTGCACTCCCGCCCAAAAAGCCCTAGGAGGAGCGCTGTTCGCATTGCGGCAGTCGCGGATGATCCCAGGTGAGATTCTTGCGGCTCTCTCGGCTTCGATTCAATCCATTTCATCAAGAACCTCTGATAGGAAGAACAATCTGTGGAAAAAAATTCCCATTGATGGGCGCCTTGGGTAGCAAAGATGATCAAACTGCCAGCTCTTTGGCGCAGTGGTCACGACACGAACTGGGACGGCAGCGGCGGCGGCGGCGGCACCACTCCCAGATCCGCTTGGAGCAGTGCTGGAATTGGAATCACAAGCTCTCCGAGACGAGTAGCAGGCAATCTCTCACAGGCTTGCGATCCTTCTTGTCGAGGCAGCACTGTATTTCATCCCAGGCTCCTCCACAACAGCGTCCCCAGGCCAGAGATTTTAGGAGGGAGTGGATTCTTTCGAGCTAAGCTTTGCGAGCTTGACGAGATAGAGGTTCTTCCTCCTCCACCACCATTTTTCTTCCATGGTAGCAGCAGCAACTCTCTGGTGAGCTCCAGGAACTCTCACACTAGCATGGGGAACAAGAGCTTGTCAACTAGAGTACCGGTGATTAGCTATAGGAGCAGTGGGATCTCTGAGAAGCAGGATGGTGCCAGCGTCCAGTCCAAGAAGCTCGAGCCTCTAAAGCTCCCGATCACAACCATGGCAGAGAAATCGACACAAACTTCCAGCTCCAAGAACGTCGCGCTAGACACATCCAGTTTGGTTTCCACGAACTTTGGAAAGCCGGCTACTTTGCGTGGAGGATCGTCATCGCCGGGACCGGGGCCGGGATGGTACTCGCCGAAGTCCCAGCCATCTTCGCCAGCTTTCTCGATGGGAAGCCGGCTTGGCGATGGCAAGAGGTCTCACAATCCCGGACCAGGAGCACACTACGTAAAGAGGAGGCCGGACGGTCCAGGCTACACGATGTCTCCTCGGTTTAGAGACGCTGCAAAGGACCGGAGTCCCGGGCCGGGGCAGCACAATCTTCCAGGAACTTTTGGTGGTCCGGCTTACACCATGGCGCCGCGGTTTAACTCGCCTCCCAGAGCTCACAGCCCGAAGCCATTTGCTTCTTTGTTGTCCGTCCTAGGCAAAGGTGCCGGCCCGATGCGAGAGACAAACACTAGCTGGACCAAGACAGCGGTTGAAGGTTCGTTGAATGCTCATGCAAACGTTCCTGGTCACGGGGTTTATTCCAGCTACAGGCCCGAGCATCTGCCGAAGAAGAAGAAGGAGAAGAAAAAGGAAGTTGGCTACTTCATCGTCAAGGTGAATCCGAAAGGACCGGCTTACAAGATCACAAAGACGGGGACCTTCTTGATGCCGGAACCGGATGATCCGGCTTTCAATCCAGAGAGAGGGGAGTCAGGAAGAAGGGACTCTGGCAATCTAGACAGGAGAGGTTCCCGCTCCAGGAGAAGATCCAGTTTATCTCCGAGGCGGCCGTCGGGTCCTCCACAACCAGATCCAACTCCGGGACCGGGAGAACACCAGGACGCCGAGTTTCAAACAAACGGTCCCTGGATAACTATCAAGTCCAGGATTCCATTACGTCCAAAGGAGAACTTTCCAGGACCAGGAACTTACGACGTTGTGTCGAGGCCGAGCTCGCCATCCTTCTCTCTCGGCACTCGCCGTTTTGTTCCGGAGGACAAAACAGAAAATCCAGGGCCAGGAGCGTACAGGATCATAGGGAAGCCACACGGCCCGCATTTTTCAATCACTGGCAAGCCCCGAGACTCGTCACCCCGCTCGAGAAGTCCCGGTCCCGGAGCCTACAAGTACGAGAATGGAACCATCGGCTCTGGTCTACCAGCTTTCACCATCACTGGCAAGGCGACGTCTCCACGAGAAAGCGATTTTCCAGGCCACGGTACTTACTCTGTGCGGCTTCCCAGAGGCCCGGCTCTCACCATGCAGTCGAGACAAAGCTCGCCAAGAACTCCAAACTCTCCCGGCCGGGGATCATGCAGTCCGCAGTGCATGAGCTCCTCTCCATCCTTCTCGATGCAGACAAGCTTCTCGAGTTATCAGGACGTGACACCCCCAGCCCCGGCTCCTACACATCGAGATCTTCCATGGACGGTCCTATGCACAGCGGACGAGTCCATCGCTTACGATCTATGGCCTGGTGAAGAAGAACAACGAATGGAATGATTTTCCACTCGAGACTAGGCCGGGAAAGGTTCCAGTCCAGAAGACTAGCCGGAGTCCGGGACAGGGGGCTTACAACGTCGAGAGCGGAAGAAGCTCTCCATCTTTCAGCATCCGGGGGAAGATTTCTCGTGAGAGACCTCATTCTCCAGGACCGGGAGCGTACTTCTTGCCGAAGACAAACCAGGCACCAGCGTTTAGCTTGTATGGGAGGATCCGAGGGCCTCGACAAGACAGCTTCAACAGTCCGGCTTGTTGATCAGCAGATCTCAACGCTTGTCGCTTCTCACTTTTGTCTTTGATACATCTTCCCAAACATCTCAGAAGCAGCGAACTTACATACTCCATATATCCCTGTTTTCATTCTTTCCTTTTTCCTTGTAAACTTGCATCTCTTTTGTGAAAACTTATAGGTGAGAAAAGCTGTGAAGAACTTTGAAAGTTAACAGTAGTTGGGAACATACTCACAACATACTCCGTCAGAGTTTTAATCATATCTCATAAGCCTCCTTTTGGATGATGAAGGGCTACACTTTGAAAATTGGGCCTGGAGGGTATAAAGATTTTTAAAAGTGAAAGCATTCGAGGACTTTTCATTACCTACTCTCCAGATCCAGTTTGTTGGAGGAATATCTGGCATATACTAGAATATTCTATAAATGACCTATTACTCTCTCACTAGAGAATCCGCATTCCAAAGGTTTAATACGAGGCAGAACAAGAGCGCTTGGAGATTACGCTCTTGCAAAGGAACCCCTGACAGTTGATGGTAAAACTATAAATTTGTGAAGCACATAAACTGCATCTTTAAATTATACAACATCTGCTAAGAAACTGCTAGATTAATATAAAGAAAGAAAGAAATAGAAAATCTAAGAAATCCAGACCATAATAGTAAAGTGTGGTGTTAGATCATAAGATATAAAACTTTGACCAAGGCAATGCCGATAGGTGAGATCTGTGAATCTTAGATTTTCAGTTCTAAGAAACTATGGGCGCCATAGTTTCATGTTGTGCATACTCAAAAATTTAAGGGTTGAGATATTATAAAGCAAGAAAGAGCTGAAAAATCTAGACCATTATAAAGTGAAAAAGAGTTGGAAGCTTTGACAAAGGCAACGGGGATAGGTGAGATCCGGTGAATCTCTAATTCTCAGGCCCGCAGCGAGAACACAGGTGAGAATTTGATCCAATGAAGAAAAATCCCAAAGCCATGGTTTGCAAATGCACCACTCTCCTGCTCGTGCTCTTGGTTGTGGTCGCCATTGTTACTACCAGTGTTCTTCTAGCCCGCCGTCACCACCACCGCTCAGCCAAACAAATCCCACCAAGCGAAGAAGCTCCAGAAGCGTGGGACGAAGTCTCCAAGCTCTCACAGTATGATCCCAAGCGCCTGGCACTCTTCATCTCCCCGCTCGTCACAATCTCCGCCAACGCCTATGGATTCTCGGCCACGGCCGCCTCCGTCCCCGGCTGGAAGCCATCCCCCAAAGTCCCAACACTCGAGCCCTCCTCAAACACCGGAGCTCGGGGCCTAGTGTACGAGGAAGACACCACCTCCGCTCACAAACGCATTGTGGTTGCGTTCCGGGGCACCTCCACCCAGGCAGACCTGTGCGTCGATCGGATCCTGTTTGGAGAGCTTCCAAGGGTGTCGCTTCCCAGCCTGAGCTCTTGCCTCTCCACCTATTCCAACCAGAGCCTCGACTACGTCTCCCAAGGTGTGAGCTACACACGCCAGGCTGTGGAGGCGTATCCAAACGCATCGCTGCTGCTCACTGGCCATAGCCTGGGTGCCGGACTCGCGGTTCTCGTCTCGGCATCGCTCGGCGGACCTGCTGCTGTTGTTGCTTTCAGCGGCCCGGGAGCTGGAGGCTCGCTGCGGTCGAGGTCCTTGCAGCTCTCTCCAGAGATGAAGCGTAACATGGTTGTCATCGGTGACGAGTGGGATACCGTGGTCACGGGGTCGTGGGAGCAGCAAGTTGGCACGGTTTGCTTGGTGCAGCACCAGGGAGCGTCGGACTGCGCGGCTTGTTCAGTGAGCGATGGGAGCTCAACTTGCTCGAACTGCGCCTTCCAGGCGCACAGCCTGAATGGGATTCTCGATAACCTGCAAAGAGGAGACACGTTTGCGTGCTCAGAGCATTAGAGAGCGTGCTGGAAACACTTACTGTGCATCTGTGAGGTGTGTGTGTGACTCGCAATAATGGATTCGCTAGAATGCATAGAAACGCATACCTGAAGAACCATCACAATGTTAGTCTCTCTTTTTTTCTAGAACAAAACTGGATTTTGTAGTAACTGGTGTATCGATCGCGAGCTTCTGTGCTAGATTGATCAGCTTCCGGGGAAAACTTCGCAAGGCATCCTAGATTCGCTCGAATGCTAGTAGCATACCTGAAAAAAGCGGTTTTTCCTTTGATGTTTCAAGAACAAAACTCACTGGAACGTTAGCAGGCGATCGCATCTCCAAGCACTCCATCAATCGTCCCCGTGACCAGATTTTCAGTCACCGATAATCTGGCCAACACATATCCATCTAGCAACATTTCGATCTACCTGCGGCGATATCTATCGATCGATCCTGGAGAGTCCAGCGCTCTAGTGGATGAATGGCGGTGGAGCAAAACCCTTGGCATCGCGCTCATAATGCTTGGGGGACAAATTAGGTCTGGCGGTGGTTTTAGGTCTTCGGCGAGAGAGATCGATTCCAGTGCTTGGCGCCGGGGCAATAATGATCAAGCTTTTCAGCGTCAAGCAGAAGCAAAAGGAAGCTGCCGATGGCGCCAATGGCAAACCCAGCGCCGGCAAGAAGCAAACGCCCGGAGAGTTGCGCGTCCAAAAGGGTAAAACGAATAAATCTCTCTCACCTTCTTCATCCATTCACGAAGAACTTGGTCTTCTTTTCTTTGTCTAGATATCAGTGAGCTCAACTTGGCGAAATCTACGTCCATCAGATTCCCCAACGGGAAGGATGATCTCCTCAACTTCGAGATAACCATCGGACCGGACGAAGGCTACTACCAGTAAGTTCTTTTCGTGTGAGTGTTGCTATCGATTGATCGATTGGATTGTTCCAGCGGAGGTTTGTTTGTTTTCACGTTCCAGGTCTCGGGAATCTATCCTCACGAAGCTCCCAAAGTAAAATGCAAGACCAAAGTAAGCTCTTCTCTCCTCTTTGCATTCTTTTCTTTGCTCACACGAAGCTTTGAGCAGATCTATCACCCCAACATCGACCTCGAAGGAAATGTTTGTCTCAACATTCTCCGAGAGGACTGGAAGCCAGTCTTGAGCGTAAACTCGATCATCTACGGCCTGCAGTACCTCTTCTTGGTAAGTATCCATGTTTTCTCTACTTAAGATACCAGTTTAGTTTGTTTGCTCGTAGGATCCAAACCCGGAAGATCCTTTGAATCAGGAAGCCGCTGAGGTGCTTAGAACAAACCCCAAACAGTTTGAAACTAATGTGAGGAGATCGATGCAAGGCGGATTCGTCGGTGGCCACCAGTTTCACAGATGCGTATGATCTCGGTTTCTCGGTCGACTTCTCGATCGTTCTTGCTCGCTCGCTCGCTCGCTCGCTTAGGAAGGGAAAAACAAGGATTTGTTTGGTACAAATGGCTGCGATATACAGGGATATTTCCCAGTTAGTATCTATTAAATTTTGACATAAAGCATTGTTCAATGTACAAAATTTGTTAAATGGTTTGGATTGTTTTGAGCCATTTACCCAAGGTAAGTTCATTGCTCCATAAGGTTAAGTTCCTAAGGTAAGTTCCTTTCGAACCTGTGCTCCATATGCTGTAGAATATTTGTTTCAAGCACTCTAAATTCCTTAGGTTGGGAACTTCATCCTTTTTGGGTATCTGGTTTAAAATGAGTTAACGATAAAAGGTCTATTATGATTCTCTTACGAGATAAGTTTCTTTCCTTTAAGCAGGGCTATTCATTCAGTGTCATGAGATAGAATTTCTTTGATCAAATTGGTATGCATTCTTGTTGCTTTCAGCCTGCCTCATATGGCTCTTGTTTATATGTATCTTTGTGTTTCCTTGACGTCTTTGATACTTGTTTTGGCTGCCTTACCTACGTTGAAAGAAGGCCAAGCCGCTTGGTCCAAGAGTAGGGGTTGGTTCAAGCTGACAGTTGGCTGCCTTGTTCAGTCCTTTCGGCCAGACAACTTATCCTTTTTGACAGGCTATTACTTGTGTCTGGATGTCTTGGGACTTTTCCATCTTTCTGTGTTCTTGTGAATTTGTTTTCTATTCATCTTTGCCTTGGAGCTTGGCCTTGAAATCTGTCTCAGAACATTCTTTGTCAACCCTCTTTTGGTTGAGACGTCTTCCGGTTTCTCCTTTCCAGCATATTTCTTTTTTGCAAGGGACGCATTTTTCCCAGTGAGAGTCGCCAAACTGGTACAGCTATGATACATATATAAGGGAGAACTAGGGTAGAAAAGACACTCTAGAAGGGCAATGAACCACATCTTTCCAGTGATCTGGAATGCACACTAAAGGACGAAATACTGTGTCTTAGTTTGTAACATGAAGATGTGATAACCAATGTATTTTATTTGCTGCGCATTATTGTTCTCTTTTTTTCTAATCATACCAAAAAAAATTATGAAATTCTTGCCCTATGTGTAAATCTGAGGTACAACATTGTTATAACTCTTTTTTCTTGAAAGTCTAGCGTTCCAGGTCAATCTATTACTTCACCTATATAGAAGGAATTACCTTATCTCTTAGCAGCAACACTTTGGAATCACTGCCAATCACGTCTTTGATCCAACCATGCTTGGCTCTATCTAAATTGAGACGCCATAAAATCCAAATGGGAATTAAAACGTTTACAAGCTTTCTCGAGCTTCTGCTCTCGGAGCATATGTCCAAAGTGATGAAAAGACAAGGTGCTTCTAGTCTGCCATCACAACAGTTGTGATGTCTCATAGCAGTATGAAATGTGTATTTTATGTAAAAGCCAAGAATAGCTCTAGAGATCAAAGACCTTTATTGTACTGAATGCTTGGCTCTATCTAAATTGAGACGCCATAAAATCCAAATGGGAATTAAAACGTTTACAAGCTTTCTCAAGCTCCTGCTCTAGGAGCGTATGTCCAAAGTCTCGAGATCAACAAGCTTTTCCAAAGACCTTTATTGTACTGAATGTCTTTATTATCTTCCTTCTGCTTAAACTGGTACTAAGTGCAACATGTTATATTTCCATCATTGTTGGTTGCCAGAGTGGTGAATTGCACGGCCTCTCCGGTGCTATAGTTGCACTTCAGCTCGCCTTCCGCAAAATAGCAGCTGGCATTGGGATCTGAGGTACACGTCTTAACATCCAGGTAAGCATCGTCATTCAATGTAGTGTCCACTTTCAAGCACCGATACTTCAGCAGCCCGGTGTCCAGTTCATACCAAGCAGGAGTGCAACTGTCGAGAAATCCACCGCAGGTGCCAGACTGAGTACTTTTCCTGCAACACCCCATGTTTCCGTCGTTGTTGCCCGCATATTCCTCCATATTGACGATGGCGCCGTTACCGGTGCAATAGAAGGTTGGAGCTGATTGGCTTGATCCAGGCTGCTGGAGCCTACAATTGACCACTCCACGGCACTCGTTTGTGCTCAAACTTGACTCGTGCTTAGAGCCATTGACCATTTGGCAACTTGCTTTCAGCACATTTTTCCTATAAGAGATGGGTGTACAGGTTTTCAAAAAGCCTCCACATGATGAATCAGAACTCTACAAGAAGCCAAATCAAGTTCTTTGGTCGCAGAAGAATTGTGAGCTTACCACAAGTAGGAATGTGTTAATTACAAGCACCAACAAGGCACACACAAGCTTATGCATTGTGAAATTGCTCCAAGATGGTCTACGTGGTGTTCTCACGTTAGTTTTAAGTGATATCTTTGATCTTTGTTAGATCCGGAATGCACTTAAGGACGAAATACTAAAACTATTTATTAGTTCAGACGTGTTTTGGCGATGCATACAATGGGCATTTTGTTGGAGAGCGAGTGGTGTAAATTAAACATAGATATGAACGAGAATAAGAACTTGGACAACAATGCTCATCTCTGGAATAGCTCTTGAAACACCAAAAGGTTGGTACTTCCAATGTTTCACTGTTACTTTACGCGTCTGGGATTATATCTGGGAGGAATTCAGCAAATGAACGGCTCACGAGATTGTCAAAACAGCTGACTCTACTCACGAGACCCTGTAAACAGCTAATGAATGAATGAATGAATATCCCCAGGATCCACTATATCCTTTAAAGCTCGTCTCGCTACCATCAACACTTCTGGAACCCCGGCCAATCACGTCGTCTTTGGATGAGGTCCCAATGACGGTCATGCGGCTCGGCTCTATCTTCGTCTCGACGCTTCGTGGCTCTTCTCATAACAAGATATAAAATTTCTTTGAAGTTGTAAAAAGCTCTTGTAATAAGCGATGGTCTACCTGTAAGAACTGTTTCATAAAACTACAAGCGTTTTTTCTTTCTCGTTAGTAAGACCGGGTCCTTTCGATCCCTTCCCCATTCCTTGGGCCACCGGATTTCTAAAGAGACATGATAAACTTCTGATATACTCTGGATAAAGCTCCAAGTTGCAGTGACCCCCTCCTTTGAGCCACAGTGGCTCGTACTTTTCCTTGCAAAGATCCCACAGCTGCCACGCGAGCAATCCACAACTTTGTCGCTGGTATCCTGTGAAAATAAAGATCAGATTCCTCACCTACAACTAGAACCAAGTGGGGAAAAGAAGAAAGAATGAAGAAGAAACTTACGTGAATGACGAGCACGGGACAATTCACGCGTCTTATCTTTTCAATGTTCTGCAAGGAACCGAAGGTAGGAAAATCAAATCAAAGAACTCTCTTCTCATAACCAGTATGTTCTCTTGACGGGGTACATAACACGCAAGCCGGAAAGGATTGGACTGTGAAGAACAACGCCTCGAACTTTCGGGAGCCTGGCCGCCAGGTCCACTGTCGGGCCACTTCCCACGGACTGTCCATAGAGCACCACATCCTCTTGTCTCACGCCATAGTCTCGCTCCAAGCACTGATAGGCAGCTTCCACGTTCGCGTACGTGTTTGCTTCACTCGGCTGGAAAAAGATGGACAGTCCAAAGTGAAAAACTTAACCAGAGTTCATGGCCAAGTACAAGAACAATGAAAAACTGCAAAATTCCTGTAGCTAAAAGAGACAGTATAAAAGAGAATATATTCTTTCTATCTACACAGAAAATGCCAGGCAAATAGTTATAAGAGGAGAGAATTCTATCGTTAGATGTTCCGTAGCCCGAATAATCGTATCTGCGCGAGGAAGAAAAAAATTCAAAAAATACGAAAACGAAACCAGTCAATGATAGAAACTTGGGAAAAAACCGATACAACAAAGACAATAATCAATGAAACAATGGAAGAACAGCGAAAGAACGGCAGTGAGAAAGAACTCAAAAGAACTCCAACGAAACAAAGAGAAGGAAAAAAAATAAATAAAAAATCTCCAAGGACAGATCAGTGGAAGAAGAGGAATTCCCATCCAAAAATCGAGATTTTTGGCTTACCCCATGACGTTCACCCGGAGATGGACGCTGAGCTCCACCAGGAACTCATACATTTGTCCCAAATCCGCGGCATTCCCATGCGAGTAGAGCAGCGTGAGGCGCGCGGCGGAATAGTGGACGTAGATCCCCACAATGTCTTGCCCTCGCTTCGTCTTCATGCTCACCACATCGACGTGATCCCGGTTGAGAACATCCGAGGACCAAGCGGCCAGTGATCTGGTCCCGGATCACCGCGTACGACGGCGGCGTCCGGGGAAGAAGGCAAACCTAGGTGCAACTGTGGATGTCACACCGCCCATGGCTGAGAATCCACGAATTTGCTGGGAATCCTGGGAACAAGACGATGACAGAGACAAATGGGTTGCAGCCTTTGATGAGGAGTATAAGTTTAACTCCTTTCTCAAGAACAACACCTTCTCCTTGGTGGAAAGAACTCAAGGCTACTCTCAAGTGGCTGGTGTGGATTACACTGAGATGTTTGCCCCGGTGGTCAAGCTGACTACCATTTGCACCTTGCTTGCTTTAGCAGCTGCGCACAATTCTCGCTAATGGTACAAAAAGCTTGATGATTTTCTTGTGAAATCTCACTTTTCCAGAGCAAGAACGATCTGAATCTCTACTTTAAACGAGTGGGAGATGAAGTGATTTACATCGCTGTGTACATAGACGACACCCTACTCGTTTGCAACAGCCTTGCTTTCCTAGCTAAAATCAAGGTGGCTTTCTCCTCTCATTTTGAGATGAAAGACCTTGGTGAAGCTCGCTACTGCCTTGGCATCCAAATTGATTGCAGACAAGATGGCTCCCTCTTTCTGCATCAAACCAAACATGTGGAAGATGTCCTGTAACAATTCGCCATGGACTCTTGTGCGCTTGCACACACGCCAATGGTTGCTGGCTTAAGACTTTCCAAGGATACGTCTCCTTCTACAGACTCGGATAGGAGGAAAATGGCGAACGTTCCTTACCAAAGTGCTGTGGGAAGCTTAATGTACCTAGTGGTGTTCACACGACCAGACATTGCCTTCTCAGTGAACATGGTAAGCAGGTTTCTCGACAATCCAGGCCCTGCACATTGGCAAGCAGTAAAAGAATTTTTCGGTACTACTTCTTTTGGCTTACTTTACACACCAAAAGTCACAACCGTACAGGGTTACTGTGATTTGGACTGGGCTGGCTGCCCAGATTCACAAAGATCACACACAGGCTATTTTTTTTAGCTTGCATCAAGCAGCTCTTTCTTGGAGCAGCAAGAAACAGAGTGTTGTGGCCTGCTCTAGCTGCGAAGTTGGGTATATGGCCACTTGCTTGCAAGGAGGCCATCTGGCTTTGCCGTCTTCTAATAGACATGGAACACTCTCTTCCAGGTTCAATAGCGATCTATTGTGGCAATCAGGGCTGCATTGCCTTAAGCAAGAATTGCAAGATCAATTCAAGAACGACACCATTTTCTTCGAGACCAGTATGAAGATGGAATTGTCGAGCTTGTGTATTGTCCTACTCAGTACATGCTTTACATTTTGTTGGGTATATTTAATGTCACATTGTTTTTATATTATTATGTAAATAACAGAAAATTTAGATGTTTATTTAAAGTTTGATAAAATTTATTATGGACATCAATAATAATGATTGCTATGGACATTGCTTAGTTATTTTACTAAATAATGCTATTTTAGTAATATATAATGAGTTTAAATAATAAAGAAAATAAAATATATTAAGAAGTTTTCATAGATATCTAAATTTTTTCAATCTAAATAGTAATATGTACCTCATTTTTTCAAGATGAACTTTATTATTTCTTTTTCAATAAACATCCTTTATTCTTCTCTTTTACCATCCTAGAGATTCTAAGTTTTCCTAACTGCATCTTTTAATGCGATATAAGCTTTGTTATCTTGTTATATGATATATGAGAAAACAAAAATATCTTTTAAAAGAAATAAAATAAAAATTATATATGTGAGTGCATGGAATATGGAAAGGGAATACAGAAATGTGCATATCAATTAGCCCAAAAACCCTAGCTTATATACAGGAGTGAGTGGTCTGGATTGAAACCAATCCGACGGCTACCAAAATCCACTACGCTAATATTAGTATACGGCATCGTAGCCGTACACTTGGCCCTCACATCATCCCCTCCTCTTGGAATAATGGAAGGCCGTCAGGGTTCTCTTGTAGATGGGCCGGGATCTGGAGGAACGTCAGGAGGAGGCATCGGTGGATCTGTAGATGGTATTAACTGCTCCTGATCCCTTTGTATGAAGCGTTTTAACCGCTGCACATGCACAATCTCCGGAGGATCGGCCTGTTGAACGTCATGCCGAACCTCATAAACTTGTGGTCCAACTTGCCGCAACACCCGATACGGACCTTTCCACTGCGCAAGGAGCCCCTTAGATAAACCACGTACCGTAAGATGGGGAAAACGGACTAACACCAAATCATCCACTTTGTACTCCGCAGGTGGACGATGATGGGAATTGTAGCGCCGTTGTTGTCCCATTTGTACGCGGCCTAAGTGTTCAGCAGACTCTGCTCGGATAAGTGGAAGAATGCTTGTCAAATATTGATCCCATGACCTAGCATCAGGAGCTCATGGCAATCGCGAAGGTAAACCCAGCTCTGTTGGTAATATTGGATCATGACCATATAGAAGTTTATATGGTGAAGCACCAACAGAACTCTGCACCCCTGTGACATAAGCATACCGAAGAGACGGCAAATAACCATCCCAATCCAAATGTTGAAAGTTCACATACTTCGCAATCATCCCTTTGAATGTCCGAACGAGCCGTTCCACCAGACCGTCTGATTGTGGATGATAAGCACTCGTAAAAGTGTGGCGTATCCCCAACCGAGATGTCAAAACATGAAATACCTCAGCCATAAATGCAGGACCATTATCCGAAAGAATCCGCTCTGGACAAGAATGCTGGAACACAACTCGATTGAGGAGGAAGTATCCAACAGCAGTTGCAGAGGCACTAGCAAGAGCACCAACTTCCACCCAACGAGTCAAGTAGTCAGAAGCAATAATAACATACTCATTGCCAGCAGTCGATCGCGGAAAAGGTCCCATAAGATCAAACGCCACCAACTCAAACGGACGAGAAATTGCAATTGACTCCAACCGTCCTTCCGCAGCACAAGGGGGAGTATTACGAGCTTGGCACCAAACGCAGCTACGCACATACCGGATAATATCATGTCGCATCTCTGGCCAATAGAAAGATCTGCGCAGCTTCTCGGTGACACGACGGTGTCCCATATGCCCACCTAGAATAGGAGAATCATGGTAGGCATGGAGAAACCGCGGAATAAACACCGAAGGCACCACCAACCGTAAATGATCATCAGGATCCGTCCCCACAAAATAAAGAAGGCCATCTTCAAGGCGATATTGAGAATGTAAATGCCGAAAAGGCAAGTCATCAGCAAGTGATGCAGGATTCTCAAACCCATCTCGAAGCCTTCGAATCCACGGCTCAATCTTTTGAGCCTCGCGAACCTCATCCAGAGAAGGTAGATCTTGCTCTACGCCCTGTGGACACTGAACGTCAAGGACAGCAACCGCCGACGGCACAGAATCCTCATCTAGAAAATCCACAGATGCTGGAACAACAGGTTCGTCAGAAACATGAGAAGTGAGTGGAGAAGGAAGAGGAGCTCGAGAAAGGGCATCAGCATCAGCCATAGAACTCCCTGGGCGATGAATAACATCAAAATCATATATCTGAAGCTTCAAAGCCCATCGAGCCGTACGACCAACCAGGTTCTTCCGCTTCAATAATGAAGTAACAGCAGCATGGTCACCTTCAAGTAACGTCCGAGAATCATGTAGATATGCATGAAGTTTCTCGAAACCCCAGACTGCTGCTAAACACTCCTTCTCCGTTGTGGAGTAGTTCATCTCCGCTGGTTGTAATGTACGGCTTATGTATGCAATGGGATGGCGCTGACCAGGCACACTGGAGCTCTCTTGCATCAACACACCTCCAAGACCAATGTCAGAAGCATCCACGCACAAAATAAAAGGTCGAGTGTAGTCAAGATATGCCAAAACCGGAGGAGTCGTCAATAGCTCTTTGAGATTCACGAACGTCCGCTCACAATGGGGAGACCAGATGAAAGATGACGTTGATGACTTCAGCAACGCTCGCAATGGTATAGTGCGATCGGAAAGATGATCCACAAAACAACCGAGATACTGCACCTTACCCTAAAAGCGCTGCACATCATTCACACACTTCGGAGTAGGGAACTTTAGAACAGCCACAAGTTTGTCAGGATCAACTTGCAAACCCTCACGAGAAATACGGTACCCAAGATAAGTTGTGTCCTTGGACCCAAACACACACTTCGACCGCTTCAGCTTTAAACCAACGTCGCGTAGCCGATCCAACACTTTACAAACATCACGAACATGCTCCCCCCACGTCCCCTCCGAGTGGATCAAGACATCATCAATGAAGTCAGCCGTCATCTCCGGCATATCGCAAAGAACCTCGTCCATCATCCGCTGAAAAGTTGCTGGAGCATTGTTCAATCCAAACGGCATCACCAAAAACTCGTACAAACCAAATGGTGTACGAAAAGCAGTCTTAGGAATATCTTCTTCAGCCATCGGTACTTGCCAATACCCAGAAGCAAGATCTAGCTTGGTGAACCAACGACTTCGCCCCAGACGATCCAAGAGATCAGCAGTGTGAGGAAGAGGGTACACGTCCGGGATCGTCACTTCATTTAACAGACGATAGTCGATGCAGAAACGAATACTCCCATCAGGCTTCGTCACAAGATGAGGTTCACATGCCCAAGGACTCCGCGACTTCCGAATAACACCCTTCTCCAACATCTCCTTGACGTTTGCACGTAAAATCTTGATCTCCTTGGGTGACCGACGACGAACAGGAACCTTGATTGGACGAGCATCCCCAGTTGGAATGGGATGACGTGTGGCAATCTTGGCCCCAGACGATAGGTCAAATTCAAAGAGATCAGAATACTCCTTCATGAGCTGGTCAACAGCTGCAACACAAAGATCATCGGAGGGATCGGAAAAGGGAAGAGCAGAACAAGATGGAAACACAAGAGGAAATAATGGGGGAACAAAAGTAATGGAAGTAGAGGTAAAAGTAGAGGGACGAAGAGGTACAGAAGTGAGAGGAATGGATGAAACATAAGGAAGTATAAGACAAGGGGGAGAAGCCTCAAAGTCACACTTGGCATGATTGTGCTGCAACCAATCCATACCAAGAATGAGGTCAAAAGCTTGACTCGGCACCACCCGCAACGACTGCAACTCAAGCTCGAAATCGCCCACGCGCACAACTAGGTCCGCCTCATCTCGTGCACATGCATGTGTACGGCCGTTGCCATAAAGAATGAAAACTGGATCCGCCGCACGACACAAGTGTAGACGACAACGTGTGGCAACAGGTCGAGCAATAGAAGATAAACTCGAACCTGTATCAACCAACACAGAGAGAGGAATAGGAGACCTCTTGTTATAAAAACGAGCTTGGAAAGTAAACACTGGATGAACCGGTGCCGAGTGAACCCCTTGATGATACTCCCGAAAGAAAGATGGAGGGGTCACTAACTTATTCGCGCAAGGTCCCTCCATTACTCGCGCGACTCCTCATTTCCCGAATGCACCTCGGTATCCAAACCTTCCACCGCAGCAGCACCAACGGGACGTTGCTGACGCCAAGGTCTCCACCCAGGAAATGGAGGTTGCCAATCTGGAAAGCGCTGACAACGCCGATAAGTATGACCAACTTCATCACACGCCCAGCAACGAACGTCACGGCCACGACCACGTCCTCGCCCTTATCCTTGGACTCGAGTAGCAGCAGCATCAACCTCCATGGGAACAGGACCATCACTCATAGGAAGTGGAGCTGAAGGACGTGTAGCAAGAAGTGGAAGAGGCGACGTCTCATAACGTTGGGCCAAGCGAAGAGCATCGTCAAGAGTGGCAGGAGCAAGTGCATGCACAAGTCCGACAAGATCTTGATGAAGTGCTGGCCACAGCATTCCTAGCTTGATCTGCTTCGACATATTTGGCTCCGCACGAAGCAAAAGACTTCGGAAACGAACGCCAAATTGCATCACCGACTCAGATGGCCCTTGGCGAAGACGATGCAATTGTTGGAAGGCATCATCACAATCGTCGGCGTGTCCGAAGGCGCATTTGAAGACGTCCGGAAGAACACTCCAATCGCCACGAGTAGCTGCACTCAATCCATTATACCACTGCAATGCCGTCCCTTGGAGACATGTGGGGAACTCACGCAAACGTCGAGCATCATCCCAAGAATGATATGTGGCAATCACCGTGAAGTGATCGAACCAATGGTACACATCATCCCCAGGATTCCCACGAAAGAACTCCGGCCGAACGTGAGGATTGGCACCAAAAGCAGGAGGAGTTGTACCATGTGCTGTGAACGCCGCCATCAACTGAGTTTGGTTGTTCAATTGCAAGCGCATAGCATCAAGCAATTGAACCAACTGCTGCTCTAGAGTCAAAGGAGGAGATTGCGGATTAGCCATGAAAATGAATGAAAAAGAAAGAGCAAAAGAAGAGAAATGACAAAAAGCTAGAAAGAAATGGTAGATCTAGACAATGCAAAAAGCTAGATCTAAACCAAAATCCTGAAAGGAAAGAACAAAAGAAAGGAAATGGAAAAAGCTAGATCTAGACAATGCAAATCCCAAATCCAAGCACTCCCCAGGGACAATCAAAGGTGCCCCTCACCTCCACCAATGTGAGTGCATGGAATATGGAAAGGGAATATAGAAATGTGCATATTAATTAGCCCAAAAACCCTAGCTTATATACAGGAGCGAGTGGTCCGGATTGAAACCAATCCGACAGCTACCAAAATCCACTACGCTAATATTAGTATACGGCATCGTAGCCGTACACTTCGCCCTCACACACACACACACACACACACACACACACACACACATATATATATATATATATATATATATTACATTTTAAAGGATAAAGCTCTTCAAGGGTTTAAAGAGTTGTTAAGTTATTAATTTTAAAATATTTATATATTTATTTTAAAAATTATTTTAAATTATGTTGATTTTTTGTAGCCTTCACAACATTCTTATATAAATTGAGTAACCATTTAATAAATGTATGAGAAAGTAAATAAAATCTTGGTTGGTTATAATTGAAAATCCATTATAGCCAAAAATAAACTAAATAAAGAGGAAATAAATTATTATAAGGTACATTAAGTACATTTTTTTTATCCATAGTGTCTTTAAAATGTAAAAATGTATAATCATATGCGTAAGTTATAGATGAATTGAAATTTAATCATCTTTCATTTTTAATAGATTTTTTTTCAAGTCAGTATAACATTGTTTTAAAAAAGAAAATTAAGAAATGGAATAGAATGATGGACATATTTTTTAAAAAATACTCATGCTCTAGTAATCACAAAAAGAATAATCCAAATTTAAGTTGAGCTCATCAATTATAAAAAAAAATCTAGTTTTAAATTTAATATTTTTTCTAATAAATATAAGATATAAAAAGCCACGTAGTATAAATTAAAAATAATTTACAGCAAGAAATTAAAATAAGCTCTAAGTTCTGAAGACTATAATAATAGTATGTAGTATGAATTTAAAATATTCTAATATTCTAATATTCTATATGAATTTAAAAATAAATCCCATCCTTTTGAAATAGCATCTGGAACAAATGAGTGCCACATTTGGGTTGAATATACTTTCTATCAACACAATTCCAATTCAGAGAGTACTTTAATATTGTCAACATATTGGCACAGTACCTAATGCTAATAGACCATGCCAGTGGTAGAGTGTGTTACAATGCTACACTGTTTTTTTTCAACTTAATGGCATCCTGGTTCAGGGGCATGAAAATGGATTGCATTGCATGGAGCGCTCCTGCTGTTCATAACTTGTGGTCGAGACAAAATAGTTTGGATATGGGAAGTGCAGGTCCATTTTCTTTCATTAATAAAATGAAAGTGCTCTTGCTCCAAATCTTTGGTACTAATGCGTCCACATGTCCAGAACTTGGTCTTCTTTTCTTTGTCTAGATATCAGTGAGCTCAACTTGGCGAAATCTACGTCCATCAGATTCCCCAACGGGAAGGATGATCTCCTCAACTTCGAGATAACCATCGGACCGGACGAAGGCTACTACCAGTAAGTTCTTTTCGTGTGAGTGTTGCTATCGATTGATCGATTGGATTGTTCCAGCGGAGGTTTGTTTGTTTTCACGTTCCAGGTCTCGGGAATCTATCCTCACGAAGCTCCCAAAGTAAAATGCAAGACCAAAGTAAGTCTTCTCTCCTCTTTACATTCTTTTCTTTGCTCACACGAAGTTTTGAGCAGATCTATCACCCCAACATCGACCTCGAAGGAAATGTTTGTCTCAACATTCTCCGAGAGGACTGGAAGCCAGTCTTGAGCATAAACTCGATCATCTACGGCCTGCAGTACCTCTTCTTGGTAAGTATCCATGTTTTCTCTACTTAAGATACCAATTTAGTTTGTCTGCTCGTAGGATCCAAACCCGGAAGATCCTTTGAATCAGGAAGCCGCTGAGGTGCTTAGAACAAACCCCAAACAGTTTGAAACTAACGTGAGGAGATCGATGCAAGGCGGATTCGTCGGTGGCCACCAGTTTCACAGATGCGTATGATCTCGGTTTCTCGGTCGACTTCTCGATCGTTCTTGCTCGCTCGCTCGCTCGCTTAGGAAGGGAAAAACAAGGATTTGTTTGGTACAAATGGCTGCGATATACAGGGATATTTCCCAGTTAGTATCTATTAAATTTTGACATAAAGCATTGTTCAATGTACAAAATCTGTTAAATAGTTTGGATTGTTTTGAGCCATTTACCCAAGGTATAAGTTCCTAAGGTAAGTTCCTTTCGAATCTGTGCTCCATATGCTCTAGAATATTAGTTTCAAGCACTCTAAATCCCTTAGGTATCTGGTTTAAAATGAGTTAATGATAAAAGGTCTAAAAAAATATAATTACTTGATCAAAATGCTATACGGTTTCTTTTGGAAACAATGTTTAGTTGATTTTACTAGCTTATGCTAATGCTAATAGTAGTATAAGATATTTATGGTAAATTTATCATGTTGATAGTTTAATAAATTTAAATTATTTCAAAGGAATAAGAATTATTTCTTTACAATCACATGATTACATTTTGTTGGATATATTTAATGTCATATTTCTTTTATATTATTATGTAAATAATAAAAAAACTATGTTTAAAATTTAGATGTTTATTTAAAGTTAGATAAAATTTATTGTGGACATCAATAATAATGATTGTTATGGACATTGCTTAGTTATTTTACTAAATAATGGTATTTTAGTAATATATAATGAGTTTAAATAATAAAGAAAATAAAATATATTAAGAAGTTTTCAGAGATATCTAAAAAAAAATTTCAATCTAAATAGTAAAGCAATCAATAAAGGGTCAGCCCATTGTGAGTTATATCGGGACTTTGTGGGAGCCTCTCGCACGTTTTTTTAAGATGAATTTTATTGTATTTTTTTATTTTACCATCCTAAAGATTTCAAGTTTTTCCAATTGCACCTTTTAATACAATGTATAGTTATCTTGTTATGTGATACGAGAGGACAAAAATATATTTTAAAAGACATAAAATAAAAAATATTTTATATATATATATATATATATATATATATTACATTTTAAATAATAAAGCCGTTCAAGGGTTTAAAGAGTTGTTAAGATACTAATTTTAAAATATTTATATATTTAATTTAAAAAATTATTTTAAATTATACTGATTTTATTGTAGCCTTCATAATATTCTTATACAAATTGAACAATTAACTAAAGAACCATTTAATAAATATATGAGAAAGTAAATAAAATCTTGATTGGTTATAATTGAAAATCCATTATAGCCAAAAATAAACTAAATAAAGAGGAAATAAATTATTATAAGGTACACTAAGTACATTTTTTTTATCCATAGTGCATTTAAAATGTAAAAATATATGATCATATGCGTAAATTATAAATGAATTAAAATTTAATCATCTTTCATTTTTAATAGATTTTTTTGCAAGTCAGTATAACATTGTTTTAACTCGAGTTTGAGATGGAGCCCGAGTCTAACTCCAACATGGTGCACACAGGGAAGAGTCCAGCAGCCCACACATGCACTGGAAGTCCAGCTGGGGGTGTGGAGCTAGGCACCCAACGTCTGACCTCGGGCTGCCCAACACTCGCATCCCCCACTATCCTTCTGGTGCTTGTGGCTTACCACGCCCCAAGGAGACAAATGCTTTGGGCTTTCACCCCCACGTGTCCATGTCCAAGCTGGAACCCGAGTCTGAGATGGAGCCCAAGTCTGACTCCGACATAGTGCACACGGGGAGGAGCCTAGCAGCCTGCACATGCATTGGAAGTCCAGTTGGGGGTGTGGAGCCGGGCACCCAAGGTCTAACTTCGAGCTGCCCAACACTCACATCCCCCACTATCCTTCCGGTGCTCACGGCCTACCACACCCCAGGGAGACAAGCACTTCACCCCACACGCTCAAGCCTGAGCCCAAGCTTGTGTTGCTTGGGTCCGTTGGGTTTAGGGAAAGCCGTACCCTTTGGTTTTATTCCTTCAGTGGGTGGGATAAATCGAAAGAAAATTAAGAAATGGAATAAAATGATGGATATATTTTAAAAAATATACTCATGCTTTAGTGATCACAAAAGGAATAATCCAAATTTAAGTTGAGCTCATCAATTATAAAAAAATTCTAGTTTTAAATTTAATATTTTTTTAAAAAAATATAAGATATAAAAAGCCATGTACTATAAATAAAAAATAATTTACAGCAAGAAAGTAAAATAAGTTCTAAGTTCTGAAGACTATAATAATAGTATGTATTATGAATTTAAAATATTCTAATATTCTATATGAATTTAAAAATAAATCCCATCCTTTTGAAATAGCATCTGGAACAAATGAGTGCCACATTTGGGTTGAATATACTTTCTATGGTAGCTGAATTGAGCTCAACACAATTCCAATTCAGAGAGTACTTTAATATTGTCAACATATTGGCACATATATAGCTAATAAACCATGCCAGTGGTAGAGTGTGTTACAATGCTACACTGTTTTTTTTCAACTTAATGGCATCCTGGTTCAGGGGCATGAAAATGGATTGCGTTGCATGGAGCGCTCCTGCTGTTCATGACTTGTGGTCGAGACAAAATAGTTTGGATATGGGAAGTGCAGGTCCATTTTCTTTCATTAATAAAAAGAAAGTGCTCCTGCTCCAAATCTTTGGTACTAATGCGTCCACAGCTGCAACCTTCCCGTTGAAGCTTCCTCACCACACTGATAAATAGTTGTTTCAGCAGTCTCTCCACTAGTTTGACAGCCATCTTTGTCTCATTGGTGGCTCATATTTTTCTTTTCAAGTTGCAAGTGGTTTATGCTATAGTGTTCTGAGAACCCACGAGCAACATTCACAACATGATCGAATGGCCCAAAACAAACAAAATGTGAGACAAACTTTCCAAAAGACTCATAATATTCTAAAAACTAGAAAACCTTTATATTCTATGGCAGGAGAAAATAAATAGATTCCTTGGATGGAAGGCTCAAGCCATGCCAATACAATATTATTCATTGAAACTTTATTGTGTAGTCCTGATACTCTAGGTAGAAACGTCGAGGACTGTGTAAATTCGGCCAGCTTCTTGCTTAATAATTTGACTGGCTGACAGTCACTAATGTTTGGATCTGATGAGCAAAGTATCTTAAGGGAAACACAGGAATATAAATCACAATGGATATTACCTTGATCTGACGGCATGAGAAATAAAAGGCTGTATTTCCATCGTTTTTTCTTGTAACTCGTAGGCATCAAACTTGACTCTGGAACCACAAGAATAAACCTGTAAAATGGCGGTGCAGGAAGGTTCCTATGCTTGTGCCATATATCATACTCCTGAACGATCTCCCAAATTACTGACCAAAAGAGTTTATGATTCCCGATACTGTCGCCTGGAAGATGATATCTGCCATGAGTAATGAACCGAAAGCATTCTGAATTCCAGAATATGGCTCCACGAAACATGGGACCCTTGCCAGACCTCCTTCTATTCCCGATCCTCCTGCGTCCTCTCTCCCCACTAAATCATCGTAAACATTGAACCCAGCCTTCCCTACCAGTATTCTTTTTGTCGAGCTGGTCCCTCTCCATTCACTCGGAATGTCCCCTGTAATCTTAAGTCGCCTAAAGTGCAATGGCCTGAGCGAAATCTTGTCATCAAATATCAAACGCGGCATACCCCTGCAGATATAGAATCGCCTCTCTAATTGCGCATCATCAAACTCCAGCTCTGCAAGCCCTCAAGTCTTCCAAACTCCAGGCCTCGAGATGACAAAGCTCCTTGGAGAACTCGTGATAACCATGACGACCTGGCGGCACGAACTGCAGAACTGGCCCGTAGTGCCCCGCAATCCCCTTGGACTCACCATCGACAATCAACCAGGTATGATCCTTTTCCGCTTCAGTCCAGCCGACTAGAGCATGGTTACGTCCACCAGGGGCTCATCCAACGAGAAGTCGTACAAGAGAAACAGTGGATCGTCACTATTTGTCCTCCATATCACCCTGTGCTTGAGCTTGGCTTTCTTGAAGAACCAATAGTGTCCGAAGTACCTCTTGCCGATACCACGAACCGGTGGCACTTCCTTCTCTGTGCTTCGCATGACAGCATCAATGTACTCTTCAAGAAGCTCGAAGTTGGGATGAATCCACACTGGCAGCAACGATTTGTCCCCTAGAAAACCCGAAACAAAGTCCTCAATCGTAGTGCGCATACCTTTAAAAACGTTGCGATACTTCTATGATAGAACCCTAAAAAGGATATTCCAATTCTTTATTTTGAGTTAGGGTTTGTGGAGGAATGGCGATGGCGGCAGAGGAGTCCGTGGAGCAGCAATTCCTGGTAAGGCTTCTCAATGGCAGCACCAGGTGCGTGCGATTCGCATCACCGCGGGTTCTCTGCGAGGATCTCAAGGCTAGGGTATTCGAGATCGCCGGCATTCCGCCATCGCTCCAGCGGGTCGTCACAGGGACGCGGGAGATTGGCGAGGGCGAGGCTCTGCCGGCGTCCAGGGATGCGTCGTGCGCTGTGTTGCTGCGCCTGAGGGGCGGGAAGGGAGGATTTGGCTCGCTGCTTAGGGGGGCGGCCACCAAGGCCGGACAGAAGAAGACGAGTAATTTCGATGCGTGTAGAGACATGAGTGGGAGGCGGCTGAGGCATGTAAATGGGGAGAAGAAGATCAAGGAGTGGAACGAGGAGGCGGGATTGAGGCAGCTGGAAGTGGTGGCTCACGACTATTTGAAGAAGGAAAGCCAGAAGCTAAAGAATGAGTCGTCCGCCGCGGAGGATATCAAGAAGTTCCGTGAAGAGGCGGAGAGAAAGTCACAGGAGGTCCAGGAAGCAGTGCTGGATGGCTTGAGGCGGGCCAAGAACAAGAAGCGGGGGACTGATGGAAAGAGAAAGAAGATCGACATGGACGACATGGCATCCAAGAAACTTCGAATGTAAGTCGTGCCATTCTTCTGGCTGGTGTTTTTCTGGCTGTAGTTTTGTTTGCTTTTTCTGAGATTCTTGTTCTGTCTCCTTTTCCAGAATGTCGACTGGGAAGGATAGCGACCAAGAGTTGATGCCTCCTATCCACACTGGGGCCTCCAGTAGTCAAAGTTTCGAAGACCCCAGCGTATTAAATCCTTCGCCAGAGGCTGTCCCGTCACCGGCTGAGACAGCGCAGCCCGTGGAGCCTGTGGAGCCTGTGGTAAATCTCCAGGCTCCCCAGGAGCCACCGCCAAAGGTAAGCAATGAGAGTTGTTAAAAAGGAAAAACCATTGTTTTTTACTTCAGGTCATAGAAGAACTAAGCTTCGACAACTTTCAGAGCGCCGAAGAGCTGGAGGTATGTACTGTTCGGATTTCTTTTTTACTTGATGGCTAAACAGGTTGCTCTGTGATTTACAGACACTTGGCATGGATCGGCTTAAGTCCGAGCTCCAGAAGCGAGGCCTTAAGTGCGGTGGAAGCTTGAAGGAAAGGTCGGCAAGGCTGTTTCTCTTGAAAACCACACCAGTCGAGAAACTGGATAAGAAGCATTTTGCCAAGTCCAAGTAACAGAGAAGGTACCACTGGCTTTTGTGCGACTAATTGTAACGCTTGTCCTCCTGGCCTGGTGCTTCATTCCAGGAGCTTACATTTGAAGAGCAATAACAAAGTTAATAGTATTTACAGACGGACGTGTTTTACAAAATTGCTACCAGGATCTTCTTCCGTGGCAGGCTGGGTATGGAAAAGACCGAGGCGATCAACAGAAGTCTGGCCTGTGGTGATAGGATAGGCGAGGATCCTGAGCAAAGTTGTTGGTGGGGTTGGCACAGTCGTCAGAGCTGCTGCTCGTCTGTCTTTGGTTGGGGACTGCAGCTATGGACTCGAGATTTTCGCGATTCAACTGTTGGACTTCGGAAGGTGACAGGATCTTGATGAACCGGACACAGCCGACGAATTCCCTGGCATCATCAGAGAGACAAGACAATCAATCAGTGAAAGAAGCTCTCTCAGCAACGAAGCGGATGCGTCACTTACTCCCACGGATCGTCTCCAACGAGCAGAACGTCTCCCTCGTAGTCGACAAACACAAGCTGCCACGACGATCGACACGAGTCCATGAGAAGCTGGCCTTCGAGGTTGAACATCCGTGCGATATCTCTCCGGAGCTCCTCGTAGTTCTTGAGCCGCGTCACGTCTATGGACCTTCCGACGGACCCCGTCTTGTACACCTGCGAATCATAAACAGACGGAAGCTCGTCAAGCTTGGCACAGGAAAGCAGGCTTGTTTCTACCACCTTGGTGAAAGTTCTCATCGGAGAAGGCTGGACTTGTTGCTGCTGCTGTTGCTGTTGCTGCTGCTGGTGTTGCTGCTGCTGCCAACTCGTCGGACTGTCGTCAAGAGCAACTGCTGTTCCTCCACTCATGTGCATGTCCGAGCCGGAAGGCGAGCCGATCATCGAGAAGGAAACGTCTTTAGCCTTGTCGGCGGGAGCAAATCCCTGCGCCACTGCCGCGGCTGCGCTCGACAGCATCAGAGGACTGTCGATATTTACTCCGAACAGGAGGTGGCTGTTGCTGCGGAGATCAGACTGGACGTCTTGCTCTTGGTGGGACGATGACACGTCCCGGTAGACGCTGTAAGGTGGTGTGGGAGCTGCTGCTGCTGCGGCTGCTGCTGGTGGTGGCAAGTGAGAGAGATGAGCCGCTGCTGCTGCTCCTCCTGATGGAGAAGGCTGGACCATGTAAGGATTTCCTGACGAGTCGAGCGTCCGCGGGCTCAAGACGGCGGAAGCTGGTCCGGTGGAGTCCCGTATCGACGACATCCAGGAACCCGAGAGCTGCGGCTCTTGAGACAAGAGTCCCGGAGCTGGGATCTGCTGCTGCTGCTGCTGCTGTAAAGGGAGCTGGTTTTGCTTGAGAGCAGCCGCCACTGGTTGGCTCGAGTACTGGCTCTCTTGGAGCAAGGCGTCTGGATTGGACCGGTTGAGGAGGCTTTGCAGCGACATGTTGTTGGCTGGCATGGAGCCAAAGCTCGCTCCAGAGTCCTCGGAGAAACCGGGGGTGAGCCTCGACGCTAGGGGGACAGTTTGCTGGAGAGAAGCCGGGACTTGCAGCTGATAGCTTTGTTGTTGCTGCTGCTGCTGCTGCTGCTGTTGAAGTTGGAGCTGTTGTTGTTGTTGCTGCTGCTGCTGCTGTTGCTGCTGTTGTTGCTGCTGGCGATGCTGCTGATGGTGGTGGTGGTGCTGTTGCTGCTGCTGATGATGAGAAGATTGCTGTTGTTGCTGTTGGTGGTGAAGTTGCTGCTGTTGCTGCTGTAATTGTTGAGGCTGGAAGATCGGCTGCTGTGGAGGATGGCTTTGCAGAACTTGCTGCTGCGGCAACTGGCTTCTATACTGTATTTGCTGCTGCTGCGGCTGCTGCTGTGGCGGCATATGGATAACTGGTGTGACGAACTGCTGCTGCTGCTGCTGCTGCTGCTGTTGCTGATGCTGCTGCTTTGCGGAGTCGACGCTTCGAAACTCTTGGAGGGCCTGGGCCGCCATGGCTCGGTAGTAGTCCGGCTGCGACGCCGTGGCTATGGCCGCCTCGGGCTTATGCTGGAAACGAAGCCAGTGCTCGAGACTCAAGCCGGCGGCGTTGAGTGCACGGATGTCCATCTTCCCGTCCTCTGCTCGAGCCCACACTTGAGACCGGATCGCGTCCAGCTCGTCCAGCTCGCCTGCGCAAAAAGAAAGCCTGGTAACTCATTTGTTATTTCTGCTACTTACTCGTACATACCATCAAGTCGAGTTCTCTTTCTCAGGAAGAGCGAGGACGTGCATGGGAAGTAGGGAGCAGTGAGTGGTTCTATCTCCCACAGCGACACGCGTCTTTGTCTCTGCCCGGCAGTCGACTCGTCCCAGCCAACCTGCAAAGATCAAGATCTTTCGTGTAAGTTGGTGATCAATCGCGAAAGCAATGCTCCTCACTTTTAGAGTTCTCCAGAGAGAGTTTGGCCACCGAACAGAATCGAGGTCACCTATCCCAGTTATCGTACCCATATACCTGCAAAAGATGGCCGAGTTTATACTAAAGTTGCAAGAACGAGCAACGACGATTACCTTCTCGTGCTCGAGTCCTCCGTCTCGAGCTCCATGCGGAAGCGCATGCCGACAGTAACGCGGGGGTGGTAAGTTGCTTTGCTGAATCGGCAGAAGGGGACGACAAACTCGGAGAAACTTGCCCTGACACAAGCATTAAGGTTAGGAACGAAAGGACAAGACGAAGATTTTTAAAGTTCTCTCTCACCTCGGGTTGTAGAAGATCGTAAATCGGCTGTTGGTGGTGGCAGCATGGGCAGCCGCAGCTAAGACTCCAATGAGCATACTGTCGCTCGACAGAAGCGAGGAGGGAACGTTGGCCTGCTGCCTGTTTGCTCGCCTGATTCCCAGCAGGAGATGGTTGTTTTCATCCCTGATCAAGAACAAGAGAAAGAAACGAAAGATCAGGCTCACGAGTCACACACCCCTCGCGCGAGGAACGCGAACCTGATGAAGAGAACTGTGTCTCCCGCTTGCAACCTCTTGGCGCTTACGAAAACACTCCAGCCAGTCGTGAGGAGATGCCTCCTCGGTTGTCCTGCGCGCCAGGAGAGACAAAGAGTGTTTCTCTTACGGTTTTCATCGCGGAGACGAGACGAACTTACCTCTGTAAATGTGTCGAAACGTCCACTGCTGGTTGTGGAGATCCTTGGCAACGAGTTCCTGCGCCGGGGGCTGCTTGGTGAAATCCTAGAGAAGCCACGCAAAGAACGGCGAGAAAGAAAGCTTTAGAGCCCCCCAAGCCAAGAAGTCTAGAAAAGAGTTTTCTTACGAGAGGAGGGAAGACTTTCTCAGCTGCGCGCCTTGGGATGGAGAATCCACCGTGCGTGCTCGTGTCACTGGCTGTCAAAGTCTTGCAAAAGGAGAGAGTTTGCTGCTTGGGCTGGATTCCCAGATCGGGTGTCAGGAAGGGCTCCTTGTCGTTCTGCACCGGCTGCAAAGTCATCTGCGCGTAGACTTCGTCCGTGTCTGGATCGGCCTGAAACCAAGTCCTTCGCTTAGCCCGAGCAAACTCTCGCTGCAAGATCTGGAAAGCTTACATGGAGCGTGATGTTGTGGAGGTGGCAAATGAGATGCGCTGGGAGACTGGGATAGTTCGGGATCTCTGCCTCCACTCCATCCTTTTGAGTCGTGGAAGCCACCACCTGGAGATCAAACACCAACTTGCTCTAAGTTCCTGCGTCACACCCTCTTTGCGTTTGCTACGAACCTGTTCGCTGTGGCCTTGAGGAAAGTAGACGACATGGCTGCCTACTGTTGGAAGCGTCACCAGAGGACCAGCGCATTCCAGCCAAAGAGCCGTGTTCATCGCCTTCTTCTCTCCTGCAAGCAAACAATTCATTTCCACCCAGCTAAAGCCCTCTATCTCTCTCTCTCTCTCTCTGTAACTCGCGAGTTGTACCTTCCATGAATCCTAGCTTTTAGCTTTCACTCGGACTTGGAAGAAGGCAGATCGAGCTCCAAAACCAGCTCAAATCTCTCGCCTTCTACCTTCCTATCGATGCTTGTTCTGTTCTCGTGCTCCTAGAAGTCGAGCGAGCTGCTAGACATGCTTCATTCCACCCCCCGCGAGACGAGACGGAGCTCTACCTGCGACCACTGCTGGGCATTTCGCAGCCCCATGGCCTGTGATCCGGCAGATCCACACGGGAAGCCGCCGCTGCCGGCCCAATAATGCCAGTTTTGCCGTTGTGCTCCCCGGAAGAGCGACAAGAACACCAACAAGACGACCGCAGCTCACAGGATCTGGGAAGTTTAAAACCCCTCTACTCGCTCGCACGAGAGAAGAGACCCAAGGGAGAAAACCCAGGAGGGGAAAGGATTGGAATGGGAATGGATAAGATCGAGAGAGGAAAGTAGTGACAAACACAGAGGTGGAGCGCTTGGATCTGGGGGATCACAAGCGGCAACAACGCACTGCGCTCCCAAAAACAGAGCAAACGGAATTTCACGTCTTTTTGCTGCTCTCTTCAGACACAGCTGCTTCCCTTGTCCGCCATAGCCGAGCAGCGCAACCAAAACAACCCAGCTCAACAACACTAAACTAAACACAATTGGGCAGCCCCGCCTACCGTACGCCGCCCCTATCCGGTACGGACAGTGGGGCCGTGACCGGTCGGAATGTTGTGGACCGGTTAGTGGACACGCCGGGGTGACCGGCTGGGCGACAGGCGGCCCCACTGCAGGCGGCGCTGGACCCGGCGGGCTTTGCGGCCAGGCGGCCGCAGCTTTGTCGGTGCGCGGTCAGCGCCGCTTGACCGTGCCGTACCGGCGCCGTACGCGCCCGGGCTGGTTGCGCTGTGCCCCCTCCCAATGGAGCAAGTGTGTAAAATCAATCAAGCCAGTGCTCCTCGTTTTGGTATCAAACCCGCATTTTCTCGTCGCTGGTTTTTTCGATTTGCATCGCCCGCAAGTGAATAATTGGGGGCGGGGGGGGACAAACAAAACCCCCACAAGAACAATCACGCACACTCCAGATTCCAATCTATATATTCCATCCCACAAAGTGGCACGCACGCGAGCGAGACGCCCCCCAGAAACCTCGAGCTCCAACCAAAGCAAAAAGAAAAATCACACTCAAAGGAGAAAAGGAGGAGTGGATGGA